CATGCCGTGTCTTCTCCCACAGCTGCCCCGACGTGCCCTGGTTCCTCTCCTCCGGTGACCGCTGCCAGACCCACATCAGCAAACTGGGGCTGGGGCTGGGCGTGGGGCTGGGGCTGGGGCTGACCCTCCTCATCCTCCTCATCCTCTCCATCATCCTCTCCATCTGCTTGGCCCAGGGGAAGAGAAAAACGCCCAGCACCAGGTGAGGGGAGCAGGGCGGGCACCCAGGGGTGGTCCAGAGAGGAGGTCCAGCACCCTCAGAAGCGCCCCTTGGCCTCAGTTTGGGGGAGGGGGCAGCTTTTCCCTATGGGGTGGGAGGGTTCAGCCCCATCCCACCCCATGGCCTTGCTCCACAGCGAGGACAACAGCTGGCCAGAAGGCAAGCGCAACGCTCGTGCCACCGGCATCTACCACGTCAACGGCAGAGGCTCGACGCCACGTCAAGGTGAGACCCGGTGGGGGCAAACCCAGACCCTTCACGGGGAGAAGCCCCTCACCCTTGATGGAACCTCACTGGAGTCTTCTCCCCATCCAGGTCCCTACGCACACAGCTCCTATAGGACCAACGCGGAGGTGGCGGACCCTCCTGCGTTGGTGGGTGCCCAAGACGGTAGCTGTGGTAGAGCCGTGGGGTGGGATGAGTTGGGATGGGATGGGATGGGATGGGACGAGATGCAATGACTGGATGAGTTGGGATGGGACGAATTGGGACAGGATGAGTTGGGATGGGATGGGACGCAATGACTGGAGGAGTTGGGATGGGATGAGTTGGGACGGGATGAGTTGGGACAGGATGAGTTGGGATGGGACGAGTTGGGATGGGATGGGATGCAATGACTGGACGAGTTGGGACGGGATGAGTTGGGATGGGATTAATTGGGATGGGATGGGACGCAATGACTGGACGAGTTGGGACGGGACGAGTTGGGATGGGATGAGTTGGGACGGGATGGAAGGAAGCCTTGAAGCTCACCCAGTCCAAGCCATCCAGGGATGTCTCACACCACACCGGGTTCCTCGAAGCCAAACCTGGTCTTGAAGACTTGCGACGGGGCCTCCACAACTTCTCCGGGCCACCCTGGAGCTGGCCTCAATGCTCCTTCCCTCTTCACAGGGGCAAGCAGAAGGTGTGGTGTCCCTGTGAGCTGCGAAGTGGCCCCCAAAACCAGCTTGAGGAGGGGCCAAGACCACCTCGATGCCCTCCATCGCCCGCCACACAGGACCCTCGGCTTGGGTGGCAGCAACTGCTGACCTCGCCATGTGGGAAAACATCCTGCTCTCAGCATTTCTCATTTTTGGGGCAAAAACAGGCTGGATCTGGTTCTTCTGTGAGAGAAGAGGGGTCTCCCATGGCCTTGGGGACCCCTCGCTGGAGAGGACACAATAGCACCAAGGTCCCATCCTTGCTTGCGAAGCTTCGCCTGGGCCAGAGCAGGATGAGCCTCGTCCCTGTGGAAATATATTTAATTATATTTATTAACGTATTTTTGTTGTCTTCTGAAAAATAATGTGGGCAGCTGGGGTTGGGAGAGCACAGCCAAGGGCGTGCTTGGGCTGGGGGCTTGGGTCATGGTTGGGAGGGCTGGAATCGAGCCAGGAAGACCCAACCGGGGCTGGAATTGATCTGGGAAGACCCAACCAAGGTTGGAATCGATTTGGAAAGACCCAGCCGGGGCTGAAAACGATCTCAGAAGATCTAAACATGGCTAGAATTAACCTGGAAAGACCCAGCCAAGGCTGAAAATGATCTCAGTAAACCCAGCCATGGTTGGAATCGATCTTGAAAGACCCAGCCAAGGCTGGAAATGATCTCGGAAGACCCAAACATGGTTAGAATTAATCTGGAAAGACCCAGCCAAGGCTATAAACAATCTCACAAGACCCAAACGTGGTTAGAATTAATCTGTAAAGACCCATCCAAGGCTAGAATTGATCTGGGAGAATTCCAACACAGCTGGAAGCTGGCCAGGACGGTGTAGACGTGACTGCTAATGGGCTTGGCGGGTCTGGGGCGCGTTTGTTTACTCATTGATGAAGAGGAAACGCCTCTGTTTGCAGAGCCCGGCTCGGAGAGGGGGGGACGCCTGGTTTTGCATGTGCCCATCCCAAAAGGCAATAAATATTCTTGCTGGTGCCACCCCGCCTGGCGCGGCCGCACCTTCCCGTGGCCCCATGCCAGATACACGGGGGTGGAAATGGGAACTGCCTAATCCCAGCCCCCTGGGGGCTGCAGCCTCTGGGGTCCAGCTGGGTCCTCCTTGGGGGGGTCCCCACCAGCACCGTGGGCCACCAGACCCCACAGCCCCTGCTCCCCAGTTTGGGTCAGATTCACCTTGAATGGGGCGAACGCCCCCTCCCCGTGACGCCGCCGTGCCCCCCGGGGTGGTGGTGGTGGTGGTGATGGTGGTGATAACGGGGAGGGTGTGGGGGGTCTGCTCGGGGGTCGTGGTGCCCATGAGGGGTCTGGGCACGGCTGCACACCCCCAAGAACCGCCCTCCCCGGGGCAGCCCCAGGCGGGGACGCGTGGCTCCTCCCCGCAGAGGGGCAAAGTTCCCCACCGCCACTGATGCCCCTGGCATACCTCTGCACTGGGATGCTGCTAGCAGCACCTCAGGGCTGGGGGGCACCAAGATGGGGGTTTGCACCTGGGCCTTCCTCCTCCTCTTCGTCCTCCTCTTCCTCCTCCTCTGCAGGGATGTGGCGGGTGAGTGGAGCCCGGCTGGGGGGGCACCGAAATGCAGATGTGGGGGGCAGGAGGGGGGGAATTTCCTAGGGCATCTCCTTGGGGTGCTCGGGGGTGCGTTGGGGAGGTTCGGGGGGAATTGGCCTCCAAGGCCCAAGGTGGCACCGTGCTGGTTGGGGATGGGGACACTGGGGATGGAGACACTGGGGATGGAGACACTGGGGATGGGGATGGGGACATTGGGGATGGAGATAGAGACAAGGATGGGGACAGGGATGGGATTGGGGCAAGGATGAGGATAGGGATGGGAATGAGGACAGGAACGGGGACACAGGCAGGGATGGGGACACGGACATTGACAGGGATGGGACCCCAGAGAGGGACAGGGATGGGGACAGGGATGGGGACAGGGATGGAGACAGGGATGGGGACAGGGATGGAGACAGGGACGGAGACAGGGATGGAGACAGGGAGGGGAACGGGAATGGGAACAGGGCAACGATGGAGACAGGGATGGGAATGAGGACAGGAACGGGGACAGAGGCAGGGATGGGGACGGGGACAGGGACAGGGATGGGGACACAGACATTGACACGGATGGGACTCCGGAGAGTGACAGGGATGGGGACACCCCACGACTCCTCGGTGCAGGATGACAGCCGTGCCAAGGGGGAGCGGAAGCCCAAAATTGATGCTCCTGGCCAGCCTCGTCCCCGTGCGAGGCTCCAGCGTTGCACACGTGTCCTTGCACACGTGTGACCTTGCCCTGATCCGGCGTGCACACGTGAGGGATGTGCAATCAGGCACGAGGAAGGCGTGGGCTGAAAGTGAGAGCTGAGGAAAAGGGTGGGAGAGGGGTGGGGGCAAGGCCACAGGAGAGGCTGAAGGACACAAAGCGGAAAAGCGGGCGCGAGATGGCATGGGGAGGGGAATGGATCACAGGACTCCATAATCAGGAGATAAAGGAGTGATAACGAGGCTTCTAGAGAAGGGAAGGGACGGGGAATGTTATTAAACAGTTCCAACGAACTGGGACTGCAAGGGAGGACACGTGGCTGAGCAAAACACTGTGTCCGCAGGCACCACGAGCACAACAACAACAACAACAAACACGACCTTGACCTCCAAGACTTCTGCCTACACCACCAAGTCCAGCACCTCTGCCTTAAGCCGCCCCTCGTCTCTAACAGCCTCGAACCTCACCTCCAAAAACGCCTTGAGCCCGACCTTCTCCAAAACCACCTCAGCCCCAATAAATACCTCAAACCAGACACCTGATGGAAGAACCTTGAATCAAACCTCCACAAACCCCTCAAACCTGACCACCTCGGACACTGCCCTGAGCCCAACCTCCTCTGCAGCTGCCTCAAGAAAGTCCTACTCCACAGCCAACTCGACCCCGACCATTTCCACAACTGCCTCAAATCCAACCCCCTCGACAACTGCATCAGCTTCCGCATCCTCTGTCACTACCTCAAGTCCAACAATGTCAGTCACGGCCTCAACCATGAACTCCATTACTACCTCAAGAATCATCACGAGTGGTTTCATGAGCACAAGTAACTGGGGGACCATGAGCATTACAACGAGCAACAGTGCCAGTGCACCCACCAGCACGAGTGCCACTGCTACAACGAGAACCAGTGCCTCTGACCCCATGACTACCACCAACACTGCTACCACAAGCACTGAGACATCCGGACCCACGAGTAGAAGCACCACTGCTCCCACCAGCACCAGCACCATTACTCCCGTGAGTACCACCAACACTGCTACCACCAACACTGATACGTCCACATCCATGAATACAATAACTACTTCTCCCGTGAGCACCAGCACCACTGCTCCCATGAGCCCCAGTGCCACTGCATCCACAAGCACCAGCGCCACTGCTACCACGACTACCAGCGCCTCTGCTCTCACCAGCACCAGCGCCAGTGCTCCCACCAGCACCAGCGCCACTACTCCCATGAGTAGCAGCACAACTTCTCCCACGAGCACCAGCGCCACTGCTCCCACCAGCACCAGTGCCTCTGCTCCCATGACTACCACTAACACTGCTACCACAACCTCTGAGATGTCTAGAGCCACGAGTATAAGCAACACTGCTCCCACCAGCACCAGTGCCACTACTCCCGTGAGAAGCAGCACCACTGCTCCCAGCAGCACCAGTGCCACTGCTTCCACGAGCACCAGCGCCACTGCTAAAACGACTACCAGCGCCTCTGCTCTCACCAGCACCAGCGCCACTGCTCCCACCAGCACCAGCGCCACTACTCCCACGAGTAGCAGCACAACTTCTCCCACGAGCACCAACCCCACTGCTACCACCAGCAGCAGTGCCTCTGCTCCCATGACTACCACCAACACTGCTACCACAAGCACTGAGACGTCCACACCTGTGAGTACAATAACTAATTCTCCAATGAGCACCAGCACCACTGCTCTCACGAGCACCAGTGCCACTGCACCCACAAGCACCAGTGCCACTGCTACCACGACTACCAGCGCCTCTGCTCTCACCAGCACCAGCGCCACTGCTACCACGAGTACCAGCACCACTACTGCTGTGAGCACTAGCGCCACTGCTCCCGTGAGTAACACCAATATTGCTACCACAAGCACTGAGACGTCCGGAGCCACGAGTATAAGCAACACTGCTCCCACCAGCACCAGCGCCACTGCTTCCATGAGCACCACCGCCACTACTACCACGAGTACCAGCGCCACTGCTCCCACCAGCACCAGTGCCTCTGCTCCCATGACTACCACCAACACTGCTACCACAAGCACTGAGACGTCCACACCTGTGAGTACAATAACTACTTCTCCTGTGAGCACCAGCACCACTGCTACCACGAGCACCAGTGCCACTGCACCCACAAGCACCAGCGCCACTGCTACCACGAGTACCAGCACCACTGCTCCCACCAGCACCAGTGCCTCTGCTCCCATGACTACCACCAACACTGCTACCACAAGCACTGAGACGTCCACACCTGTGAGTACAATAACTACTTCTCCAATGAGCACCAGCACCACTGCTCTCACGAGCACCAGTGCCACTGCACCCACAAGCACCAGCGCCACTGCTACCACGACTACCAGCGCCTCGGCTCTCACCAGCACCAGCGCCACTGCTCCCACCAGCACCAGCGCCACTACTCCCATGAGTAGCAGCACAACTTCTCCCACGAGCACCAGCGCCACTGCTCCCACCAGCACCAGTGCCTCTGCTCCCATGACTACCACCAACACTGCTACCACAAGCACTGAGACGTCCACACCCGTGAGTACAATAACTACTTCTCCCGTGAGCACCAGCACCACTGCTACCACGACCACCAGTGCCACTGCACCCACAAGCACCAGTGCCACTGCTACCACGAGTACCAGCACCACTGCTCCCACCAGCACCAGTGCCTCTGCTCCCATGACTACCACCAACACTGCTACCACAAGCACTGAGATGTCCACACCTGTGAGTACAATAACTAATTCTCCAATGAGCACCAGCACCACTGCTCTCACGAGCACCAGTGCCACTGCACCCACAAGCACCAGCGCCACTACTCCCTTGAGTAGCAGCACAACTTCTCCCACGAGCACCAGCGCCACTGCTCCCACCAGCACCACTGCTCCCACCAGCACCAGCACCACTACTGCTGTGAGCACTAGCGCCACTGTTCCTGTGAGTACCACAAACACTGCTACCACAAGCACTGAGACGTCCGGACCCACGAGTGTAAGCACCACTGCTCCCACCAGCACCAGCGCCACTGCTCTCACCAGCTCCAGTGCTACTGCTCCCACGAGTACCAGCACCACTTCTCCCATGAGTACTAGCACCACTACTGTCACCAGCACCACTGCTCCCACCAGCACCAGCGCCACTGCTCCCGTGAGTACCACCAACACTGCTACCACAAGCACTGAGACGTCCGGAGCCACGAGTATAAGCAACACTGCTCCCACCAGCACCAGCACCACTGCTACCACGAGTAGCAGCACCACTTCTCCCACGAGCACCAACCCCACTGCTTCCACGAGCACCAGCGCCGCTGGTTCCATGAGTACCACCAACACTGCTACCACAAGCACTGAGACGTCCACACCCGTGAGTACAATAACTACTTCTCCCGTGAGCACCAGCACCACTGCAACCACGAGCACCAGTGCCACTGCACCAACAAGCACCAGCACCACTGCAACCACGAGTACCAGCACCACTGCTCCCACCAGCACCAGTGCCTCTGCTCCCATGACTACCACCAACACTGCTACCACAAGCACTGAGACGTCCACACCTGTGAGTACAATAACTAATTCTCCAATGAGCACCAGCACCACTGCTCTCACGAGCACCAGTGCCACTGCACCCACAAGCACAAGCGCCACTGCTACCACGACTACCAGCGCCTCGGCTCTCACCAGCACCAGCGCCACTGCTCCCACCAGCACCAGCGCCACTACTCCCATGAGTAGCAGCACAACTTCTCCCACGAGCACCAGTGCCACTGCTTCCACGAGCACCAGTGCCTCTGCTCCCATGAGTACCACCAACACTGCTACCACAACCTCTGAGATGTCTGGAGCCACGAGTATAAGCAACACTGCTCCCACCAGCACCAGCGCCACTGCTCCCATGAGTAGCAGCACAACTTCTCACACGACCACCAGCGCCACTGCTCCCACCAGCACCAGCGCCTCTGCTCCCATGAGTACCACCAACGCTGCTACCACAAGCACTGAGACGTCCACACCCGTGAGTACAATAACTACTTCTCCCGTGAGCACCAGCACCACTGCTCTCACGAGAACCAGTGCCACTGCACCCACAAGCACCAGTGCCACTGCTACCACGAGCACCAGCACCACTGCTCCCACCAGCACCAGCACCACTACTGCTGTGAGCACCAGCGCCACTGCTCCCTCCAGCACCAGCGCCACTACTCCCATGAGTAGCAGCACAACTTCTCCCACGAGCACCAGTGCCACTGCTTCCACGAGCACCAGTGCCTCTGCTCCCATGAGTACCACCAACACTGCTACCACAACCTCTGAGATGTCTGGAGCCACGAGTATAAGCAACACTGCTCCCACCAGCACCAGCGCCACTGCTCCCGTGAGTACCACTAACACTGCTACCACAAGCACTGAGACGTCCGGAGCCACGAGTATAAGCAACACTGCTCCCACCAGCACCAGTGCCACTACTCCCGTGAGAAGCAGCACCACTGCTCCCAGCAGCACCAGTGCCACTGCTTCCACGAGCACCAGCGCCACTGCTAAAACGACTACCAGTGCCTCTGCTCTCACCAGCACCAGCGCCACTGCTCCCACCAGCACCAGCGCCACTACTCCCATGAGTAGCAGCACAACTTCTCACACGAGCACCAGCGCCACTGCACCCACAAGCACCAGCGCCACTGCTACCACGAGTACCAGCACCACTGCTCCCACCAGCACCAGTGCCTCTGCTCCCATGACTACCACCAACACTGCTACCACAAGCACTGAGACGTCCACACCTGTGAGTACAATAACTACTTCTCCCGTGAGCACCAGCACCACTGCTCTCACGAGCACCAGTGCCACTGCACACACAAGCACCAGCGCCACTGCTACCACGACTACCAGCGCCTCTGCTCTCACCAGCACCAGCGCCACTGCTACCACGAGCACCAGCACCACTGCTCCCACCAGCACCAGCACCACTACTGCTGTGAGCACTAGCGCCACTGCTCCCGTGAGTAACACCAATACTGCTACCACAAGCACTGAGACGTCCGGAGCCACGAGTATAAGCAACACTGCTCCCACCAGCACCAGCGCCACTGCTTCCATGAGCACCAGCGCCACTGCTACCACGAGTACCAGCGCCACTGCTCCAACCAGCACCAGTGCCTCTGCTCCCATGACTACCACCAACACTGCTACCACAAGCACTGGGACGTCCACACCTGTGAGTACAATAACTACTTCTTCCGTGAGCACCACCACCACTGCTACCACGAGCACCAGTGCCACTTCACCCACAAGCACCAGCGCCACTGCTACCACGAGTGTAAGCACCACTGCTCCCACCAGCACCAGTGCCTCTGCTCCCATGACTACCACCAACACTGCTACCACAAGCACTGAGACGTCCACACCTGTGAGTACAATAACTACTTCTCCAATGAGCACCAGCACCACTGCTCTCACGAGCACCAGTGCCACTGCACCCACAAGCACCAGCGCCACTGCTACCACGAGTACCAGCACCACTGCTCCCACCAGCACCAGTGCCTCAGCTCCCATGACTACCACCAACACTGCTACCACAACCTCTGAGACATCCACACCCGTGAGTACAATAACTACTTCTCCAATGAGCACCAGCACCACTGCTCCCATGAGCACCAGTGCCACTGCATCCACAAGCACCAGCGCCACTGCTACCACGACTACCAGCGCCTCTGCTCTCACCAGCACCAGCGCCACTGCTCCCACCAGCACCAGCACCACTACTGCTGTGAGCACTAGCGCCACTGTTCCTGTGAGTACAACAAACACTGCTACCACAAGCACTGAGACGTCTGGACCCACGAGTGTAAGCACCACTGCTCCCACCAGCACCAGCGCCACTGCTCTCACCAGCTCCAGTGCTACTGCTCCCACGAGTACCAGCACCACTTCTCCCATGAGTACTAGCACCACTACTGTCACCAGCACCACTGCTCCCACCAGCACCAGCGCCACTGCTCCCGTGAGTACCACCAACACTGCTACCACAAGCACTGAGACGTCCGGAGCCACGAGTATAAGCAACACTGCTCCCACCAGCACCAGCACCACTGCTACCACGAGTAGCAGCACCACTTCTCCCACGAGCACCAACCCCACTGCTTCCACGAGCACCAGCGCCTCTGCTACCATGAGTACCACCAACACTGCTACCACAAGCACTGAGACGTCCACACCCGTGAGTACAAGAACTACTTCTCCCGTGAGCACCAGCACCACTGCTCTCACGAGCACCAGTGCCACTGCACCCACAAGCACCAGTGCCACTGCTCCCACCAGCACCAGCACCACTACTGCTGTGAGCACTAGCGCCACTGCTCCCAACAGCACCAGTGCCTCTGCTCCCATGACTACCTCCAACACTGCTACCACAAGCACTGAGACGTCCACACCTGTGAGTACAATAACTACTTCTCCCGTGAGCACCAGCACCACTGCTACCACGAGCACCAGTGCCACTGCACCCACAAGCACCAGCGCCACTGCTACCACGAGTACCAGCACCACTGCTCTCACCAGCACCAGTGCCTCAGCTCCCATGACTACCACCAACACTGCTACCACAAGCACTGAGACGTCCACACCCGTGAGTACAATAACTACTTCTCCAATGAGCACCAGCACCACTGCTCCCATGAGCACCAGTGCCACTGCATCCACAAGCACCAGCGCCATTGCTACCACGACTACCAGCGCCTCTGCTCTCACCAGCACCAGCGCCACTACTCCCATGAGTAGCAGCACCACTGCAACCAGCAGCACCAGTGCCACTGCTTCCACGAGCACCAGCGCCACTGCTCCCACAAGCACCACTGCTCCCACCAGCACCAGCACCACTACTGCTGTAAGCACTAGCGCCACTGTTCCTGTGAGTACCAGCAACACTGCTACCACAAACACTGAGACGTCCGGACCCACGAGTATAAGCACCACTGCTCCCACCAGCACCAGCGCCACTGCTTTCACCAGCACCAGTGCCACTGCTCCCACGAGTACCAGCACCACTGCTCCCACCAGCACCAGCGCCACTACTCCCATGAGTAGCAGCACAACTTCTCCCACGAGCACCAACGCCACTGCTCCCACCAGCACCAGCGCCTCTGCTCCCATGAGTACCACCAACACTGCTACCACAAGCACTGAGACGTCCACACCTGTGAGTACAATAACTAATTCTCCAATGAGCACCAGCACCACTGCTCTCACGAGCACCAGTGCCACTGCACCCACAAGCACCAGCGCCACTGCTACCACGAGTACCAGCACCACTGCTCCCACCAGCACCAGTGCCTCAGCTCCCATGACTACCACCAACACTGCTACCACAACCTCTGAGACATCCACACCCGTGAGTACAATAACTACTTCTCCAATGAGCACCAGCACCACTGCTCCCATGAGCACCAGTGCCACTGCATCCACAAGCACCAGCGCCACTGCTACCACGACTACCAGCGCCTCTGCTCTCACCAGCACCAGCGCCACTACTCCCATGAGTAGCAGCACCACTGCAACCAGCAGCACCAGTGCCACTGCACCCACAAGCACCAGCGCCACTACTCCCATGAGTAGCAGCACAACTTCTCCCACGAGCACCAGCGCCACTGCTCCCACCAGCACCACTGCTCCCACCAGCACCAGCACCACTACTGCTGTGAGCACTAGCGCCACTGTTCCTGTGAGTACCACAAACACTGCTACGACAAGCACTGAGACGTCTGGACCCACGAGTGTAAGCACCACTGCTCCCACCAGCACCAGCGCCACTGCTCTCACCAGCTCCAGTGCTACTGCTCCCACGAGTACCAGCACCACTTCTCCCATGAGTACTAGCACCACTACTGTCACCAGCACCACTGCTCCCACCAGCACCAGCGCCACTGCTCCCGTGAGTACCACCAACACTGCTACCACAAGCACTGAGACGTCCGGAGCCACGAGTATAAGCAACACTGCTCCCACCAGCACCAGCACCACTGCTACCACGAGTAGCAGCACCACTTCTCCCACGAGCACCAACCCCACTGCTTCCACGAGCACCAGCGCCTCTGCTACCATGAGTACCACCAACACTGCTACCACAAGCACTGAGACGTCCACACCCGTGAGTACAAGAACTACTTCTCCCGTGAGCACCAGCACCACTGCTCTCACGAGCACCAGTGCCACTGCACCCACAAGCACCAGTGCCACTGCTCCCACCAGCACCAGCACCACTACTGCTGTGAGCACTAGCGCCACTGCTCCCAACAGCACCAGTGCCTCTGCTCCCATGACTACCTCCAACACTGCTACCACAAGCACTGAGACGTCCACACCTGTGAGTACAATAACTACTTCTCCCGTGAGCACCAGCACCACTGCTACCACGAGCACCAGTGCCACTGCACCCACAAGCACCAGCGCCACTGCTACCACGAGTACCAGCACCACTGCTCCCACCAGCACCAGTGCCTCAGCTCCCATGACTACCACCAACACTGCTACCACAAGCACTGAGACGTCCACACCCGTGAGTACAATAACTACTTCTCCAATGAGCACCAGCACCACTGCTCCCATGAGCACCAGTGCCACTGCATCCACAAGCACCAGCGCCACTGCTACCACGACTACCAGCGCCTCTGCTCTCACCAGCACCAGCGCCACTACTCCCATGAGTAGCAGCACCACTGCAACCAGCAGCACCAGTGCCACTGCTTCCACGAGCACCAGCGCCACTGCTCCCACAAGCACCACTGCTCCCACCAGCACCAGCACCACTACTGCTGTAAGCACTAGCGCCACTGTTCCTGTGAGTACCAGCAACACTGCTACCACAAACACTGAGACGTCCGGACCCACGAGTATAAGCACCACTGCTCCCACCAGCACCAGCGCCACTGCTTTCACCAGCACCAGTGCCACTGCTCCCACGAGTACCAGCACCACTGCTCCCACCAGCACCAGCGCCACTACTCCCATGAGTAGCAGCACAACTTCTCCCACGAGCACCAGCGCCACTGCTCCCACCAGCACCAGCGCCTCTGCTCCCATGAGTACCACCAACACTGCTACCACAAGCACTGAGACGTCCGGAGCCACGAGTATAAGCAACACTGCTCCCACCAGCACCAGCGCCACTACTCCCATGAGTAGCAGCACAACTTCTCCCACGAGCACCAACGCCACTGCTCCCACCAGCACCAGCGCCTCTGCTCCCATGAGTACCACCAACACTGCTACCACAAGCACTGAGACGTCCACACCTGTGAGTACAATAACTACTTCTCCCGTGAGCACCAGCACCACTGCTACCATGAGCACCAGTGCCACTGCACCCACAAGCACCAGCGCCACTGCTACCACGAGCACCAGCACCACTGCTCCCACCAGCACCAGTGCTCCCACCAGCACCAGCACCACTACTGCTGTGAGCACCAGCACCACTGCTACCACGAGCACCAGTGCCACTGCACCCACAAGCACCAGTGCCACTGCTTCCACGAGCACCAGCGCCACTGCTCCCACCAGCACCACTGCTCCCACCAGCACCAGCACCACTACTGCTGTGAGCACTAGCGCCACTGCTCCCGTGAGTACCACAAACACTGCTACCACAAGCACTGAGACGTCCACACCCGTGAGTACAAGAACTACTTCTCCCATGAGCACCAGCACCACTGCTACCACGAGCACCAGTGCCACTGCATCCACAAGCACCAGCGCCACTGCTACCACGACTACCAGCGCCTCTGCTCTCACCAGCACCAGCGCCACTACTCCCATGAGTAGCAGCACCACTGCAACCAGCAGCACCAGTGCCACTGCACCCACAAGCACCAGCGCCACTACTCCCATGAGTAGCAGCACAACTTCTCCCACGAGCACCAGCGCCACTGCTCCCACCAGCACCACTGCTCCCACCAGCACCAGCACCACTACTGCTGTGAGCACTAGCGCCACTGCTCCCGTGAGTACCACAAACACTGCTACCACAAGCACTGAGACGTCCACACCCGTGAGTACAAGAACTACTTCTCCCGTGAGCACCAGCACCACTGCTACCACGAGCACCAGTGCCACTGCATCCACAAGCACCAGCGCCACTGCTACCACGACTACCAGCGCCTCTGCTCTCACCAGCACCAGCGCCACTGCTCCCACCAGCTCCAGTGCTACTGCTACCACGAGTACCAGCACCACTTCTCCCATGAGTACTAGCACCACTACTGTCACCAGCACCACTGCTCCCACCAGCACCAGCGCCACTGCTCCCGTGAGTACCACCAACACTGCTACCACAAGCACTGAGACGTCCGGAGCCACGAGTATAAGCAACACTGCTCCCACCAGCACCAGCACCACGGCTACCACGAGTAGCAGCACCACTTCTCCCACGAGCACCAACCCCACTGCTACCACCAGCACCAGTGCCTCTGCTCCCATGAGTACCACCAACACTGCTACCACAAGCACTGAGACGTCCACACCCGTGAGTACAAGAACTACTTCTCCCGTGAGCACCAGCACCACTGCAACCACGAGCACCAGTGCCACTGCACCCACAAGCACCAGTGCCACTGCTACCACGAGTACCAGCACCACTGCTCCCACCAGCACCAGTGCCTCTGCTCCCATGACTACCACCAACACTGCTACCACAAGCACTGAGACGTCCACACCTGTGAGTACAAGAACTACTTCTCCAATGAGCACCAGCACCACTGCTCCCATGAGCACCAGTGCCACTGCACCCACAAGCACCAGCGCCACTGCTACCACGACTACCAGCGCCTCTGCTCTCACCAGCACCAGCGCCACTGCTCCCACCAGCAGCAGCGCCACTACTCCCATGAGTAGCAGCACCACTGCAACCAGCAGCACCAGTGCCACTGCTTCCACGAGCACCAGCGCCACTGCTCCCACCAGCACCAGCACCACTACTGCTGTGAGCACTAGCGCCACTGTTCCTGTGAGTACCACAAACACTGCTACCACAAGCACTGAGACGTCTGGACCCACGAGTGTAAGCACCACTGCTCCCACCAGCACCAGCGCCACTGCTCTCACCAGCTCCAGTGCTACTGCTACCACGAGTACCAGCACCACTTCTCCCATGAGTACTAGCACCACTACTGTCACCAGCACCACTGCTCCCACCAGCACCAGCGCCACTGCTCCCGTGAGTACCACCAACACTGCTACCACAAGCACTGAGACGTCCACACCCGTGAGTACAATAACTACTTCTCCCGTGAGCACCAGCACCACTGCTCTCACGAGCACCAGTGCCACTGCATCCACGAGCACCAGCGCCACTGCTACCACGACTACCAGCGCCTCTGCTCTCACCAGCACCAGCGCCACTGCTCCCACCAGCAGCAGCGCCACTACTCCCATGAGTAGCAGCACCACTGCAACCAGCAGCACCAGTGCCACTGCTTCAACGAGCACCAGCGCCACTGCTCCCACCAGCACCAGCACCACTACTGCTGTGAGCACTAGCGCCACTGTTCCTGTGAGTACCACAAACACTGCTACCACAAGCACTGAGACGTCTGGACCCACGAGTGTAAGCACCACTGCTCCCACCAGCACCAGCGCCACTGCTCTCACCAGCACCAGTGCCACTGCTCCCACGAGTACCAGCACCACTGCTCCCACCAGCACCAGTGCCTCTGCTCCCACCAGCACCAGTGCCACTGCTCCCACGAGTACCAGCACCACTGCTCCCACCAGCACCAGTGCCTCTGCTCCCATGAGTACCAGCAACACTGCTACCACAAGCACTGAGATGCCCGGACCTACTAGTACAATAACAACTTCTCCCTTGAGCACCAGCACCGCTGCTACTACAAGCCCTGAGACATCCGGACTCATGAGCACGAGCGCAATTGCTACCATAACTACAAGCACCACTGTTCCCACCAGCACCAGCCCCACTGCTCCAGTGAGCACCAGCACCACTGCAACCACAAGCACCAGCACCACTGCTCCCACAAGCACCAGCACCACTGCTCCAATCAGCACTGAGACAACAGGACCTACGAGCACTAGCACCACTGCTCCCACGAGCAGCAGCACCACTACTCCCACTAGCACCAGCACCACTGCTACCACAAACAGTGAGATGTCCGGACAAACGAGTACAATAGCTACTTCTCACTTAAGCACTAGCTCCACTGCTAGCACAAGCACCAAAACCACTGCTCCCGTGACTAGCAGCACAACTTCTCCCATGAGCACGAGCACCACTGCTCCCACGAGCACCAGCACCACTGCTCCCGTGAGTACCACCAACACTACAACCATGAGCACCAGCGCCACTGCTCCCACGAGCAGCAGCACCACTGCTCCCACGAGCACCAGCGCCACTGCTCCCACCAGCACTAGCCCTACTGCTACCACAAGCACTCAGACGTCCGGACCCACGAGTTCAATTCCTACTTCTCCATTTAGCACCAGCACCACTGCGACAACGGTCACCAGCACCACTGCTCCAATCAGCACTGAGACAACAGGACCTACGAGCAGCACCAGCACCACTGCTCCCGTGAGCACCGCTATTGCCATGAGCACCAGCACCACTGTTCCCACGAGCGCCGCTATTGCCATTAGCACCAGCACCACTGCTCCCACCAGCACCAGCACCACTGCTACCACAAGCACTGAGGCGTCTGAACTCATGAGTACAATAACTCCATCTCCCTTGAGCACCAGCACTGCTGCTACCACAAGCACCAGCGCCACTGCTCCCACGATCACTGGCACTACCACGTCCATGATCAGCAGCACCACCAGACAAACAGCCACTACCACTAACAACCAGCCAAGCAGCACCACCACTCTCCTCACCACCAGCACTACCATGCTCTCCAAGACCACCACCACTCTGCCAACCACCACGCTCCCCACTACCACCAGCCAGCCAAGCACCACCCAGCCAAACACCAGGACCACCGTGCTCTCCACCATGAGCACCACCTCTGCTCAGCCAACCAATGCCACCGTCACACTCCCCACCTCCACCACCCACTCAACAACCACAGCCACCATGCACCCAACCACCACCATTACCACCACAACGACCACCATCAAGACAACGACCACCACCACCACACGTGCAACTACCACCACTACTACCACCAGGACCACCACGAGCCCAACCACCACCACCACCCCAGGTACCACCCCTCCCACCCTTAGCTGCACCCAGAACAGCTTCCTCACCCCACACCTCCCAGTCCCATCTCACACTGTCTTTTCCAGGGCAATGCGAAAATGGAGGCACTTGGGTCAACGGCCAATGTGTGTGTCCCCCGGGATACACGGGCGCCAACTGCATTTCCATCGAGAGCAGCATCGAGACCAAAGCTGGTAGGGAGCCCTCTGCGCCCACCTCCAGCCCACAGCGGGGGGAAATCTTCTGGGGAGAACCAGGAGGGGGACTTCGTTATGGGGAGAGGGAGTCAGAAGTGACTATGGGCATGGACTTCAAGCAGGGCATGGCCCCACACCACCCAAAGGTGTTGGCAGTGAGTTCTCCAATGTGGGTGTTATCCTGGGACACTCGATGTTGTGGGTTAGGTGTTTCCCAACCAGCACAAGTTCCTACAGCACTCAAAGGTGTGTGTAAGGAGTTCTCCAACCACTGCTTGTCCTGGAGCACCCAAAGATGAGAGTAAGGAGTTCTTCAACCATCACAGCCACTCCCACAGCACCCAAAGGTGCAGGGAGAAGCAGAGGGCACTGGACCACAACTGAGGTCCAAGCAGCAGACAGAAGGGCCTGCCCTTAAATGCCTCCCCTGCAGCAATAAGCAGAGGCTGGTGGTCCCAGGTGAGGCCGGCTGGGGCCATTAAAGCACATTAGTGCCCTGCAGAGCACAGCAGCAATGCCCAGGGTGTGGGGTTGTCTTCTCCTGCTCCTGAGTCTCATCTCCTCCCTTCCCCCAAAGAGGCCAACGTGTCTGTGAGCGTGGAGCTGCGGGTCACCAACCAGGAGTACACCGAGGACCTCCGAAACGAAAGCTCTGAAGTCTACAAGAGCTTCGTCCTCAGCTTCACCCTGCAGGTGGGATGCTGTTCTTGCCCCCCTGGGGTCTTCTCTGTCCTTGTTAGGGGTGTGCTAGCTTTGGGGGGAATCCAAGGTGGGGAAGGAACTTGCAAGGGAAGGGAGTGGGACACCGATAACTGGCCTGTGGCCTCCTTCTCTTCCAGATGGAAATTGTCTACCGCAACATTGAAGGCTACCAGGGCATCAGGATCCTGAGTCTGTCGTGAGTGTTGGGCTGCTGGCCTCTGGGAAAGGGTTTCAGGGTGCTCCAGTGGGCATTGAGTGCTTTGATTACCACTGAGGTGCTCCAACTGATATTGGGGTGCTCCAACTGGCCTCATGCTCGTCAATGATGAGGGGATATTGGGGTGCTCCAACTGCTATTGGGGCTACAGCAACGGGCATTGGGGTGTCCCCTCAGACCGGGCAGCATCGTGGTGAATCACACCGTCATCGTTGCTGTGCTGGTGACCGCCGATACCACGGAGAAGATCGGTAACATCACCAAGAATGTGCAGGAGGAGATCGTCCAAGCAGCGACAAAGCAGGAAAACTGCACTGATAACAGTGAGCCTCTGCCCCCTAGGGACAGGGTTGGGACCCCCAGGGACAAAGTTGGGGCCCTCCATGATGGGGTTGGGGCCCTTGGCACCCCTTTGGGCCTAGGCCTTGGGGGCATGGTTGGAGTATTCCAAGGATAGGGTTGGGGCCCTGGGGAACCATTCGGGCCTAAGCCTTGGGGACAAGGTTTTGGCCTCTGGGGACAGGCTTGGGGCCCTTTGGACAGGGTTGGGGCATCCTGGACATAGCTGAGGCTCTGGGAATCCATTCGGGCCTAGACCTGGGGCAGAGTTAGGGCCTCTGGGGACATGGTTGGGGCCCTAGGTACCCCTGAGGCCTGGGGCTCTTCCACACGGCCTCTCCCTCTGCTTCCCAGGCACCCTCTGCTTCAACGCCTCCGAAGTGACAATCACCAAACCCTCGTACGAGTTCAATGCAACAGGTGAGCCCGTGGGGTGGGTTGCTCAGGGCTGACCTTGAGCTGGGGGCCATGCGTGTCTCCCCCCGGCCAACCCCCGTCCCCCCCGCAGCGTATTGCCGCCAGATCGCACCCAACGACTTTCAGAACTTCTACTACCCCAACATCACCAAAAGCGGCCTCACCTGCGTGTCCAACTGCTCGGCCAACACCGCCAGTGCCATCGACTGCAACGAGGGGCAGTGCCAGCTCACCCCGAGTGGCCCCCAGTGCTTGTAAGTAGCATGAGGACAACCCCAGGGACACCTCCACTGCCCTGATGGGGGCTCTTGGCCCCCCTCTTGTGGGGGGCCAAGAACCAAGCACCATGGGCCTAGCCAGTGGTCTTGGCACCACACTCATCCCCACATCTCCTCCCCACAGCTGCCGTGAGACCAACCTCTACTGGTACCAAGGCGATCGGTGCAAGAGCCGGGTCAGCAAGATGGCCGTGGGCATGGGCCTGGCCGTGGCGGTCTTGTGCTTGGTCATCTTCGTCCTTGCCGCCTTCCTCTTCAGGGCCAAGTGGCAGAAGTGGTCAGACAGGTGGGGAAATCCCGTGGGGATGGGAGTGGTAGGTGATGGGTACAGGAGGAACTCCACAAGTAGAGGTCCTCTGTGGAGTCTCCAGTTGTAGTGTCTCCATCCATGGAAGTCCTCATGGGCACCCATCTGTGGTGCTTGGCCCCACCTCTGGTGGTCCTGATGGAGCGGGGCTTGGCCCCCCTCAGTGCCTTCAAGACCCCCCCAGTTGCCTCCAGGCCCCCAGCTGATGTCACCACCTCTATACCCCCCAGGTCCAGCGACCTGACGGAGACCAAGCAGCACTGGTATGAGGAAGAGGATGAAAACTGGGAAGTCCCTGGGGGCTTCACCATCCAGAATGAAGGTATGGGGTTGGAGGGGGGAAACCCACTTATGGGATGATGGGATGGGGGGGTTGGTGGATCCCCCACCTGGGGCATCCCCATTGAGCTCCTTATTTCCACAGGTGCCCATGACACCATGCGGGTTGACCTGCAGTCCGTGGACACCTCGGCACAGGTAAGTCCCCCACCCATCTGAGGGGGGGCACATGGGTGGGGGGACACATAGCGGTAGCACCCCCACCCCTCTCATGACCTCACCATGAGACACCCCCCCCCCCCTTAACCCCCCATCTTCTCCCCCCAGATCCAGATCCAGAGGCCGGAGAGGATCGCCACGGAGCTCTGAGTACGGAGAGGGGGGGACACCAGGAGGCTGCCGCCCCTCCCCCCCCTAGGACTCAAACAGCACTTTGGGATACCCCCCCTGCTTTTGGGGGGGGTCATGACCTCAGGTTGGGGATCATGGCCCTGCCTTTTAGGGTCACGACCTCCACCCTTTCTTTAGCACTTCATTGGGCCCCCAACTCTTGCTTGCACATACTCGTCCTGGCCCTGCTCTCCTGGTGATGACCTCACTTGGGGGGCCATGATGTCATTTCCAGGGTATTGTCCCCATCCCCCCCACAGGTCACTTTAAGGGTCAGGACTCCCCCTTCCCCCTGCATAGGGCTGGACCCCCTCTAATTCCAAATAAATAAGTATCAAGTCACTGGTGTCACTGGTTTGTACTGGGATGACCGGACCTGCTCCAATTCCCCATAAATAACTGCTAAGGCACTGGTGGCATTCGTTTGTACTGGGATGGTTCCAACATGCCTAGGGCTGTTAATCCCTTCCCCTGGGGAAGCCCCAGGTGGGGATGCACAGCTCCTCCCCCCAGAGGGGCAAAGTTCCCCACCGCCACTCCTGCCCCAGGCATGGCTCTGTACCGGGACACTGCTGGCAGCGCTGCGGGACTGGGGGGTGCCAAGATGGGGTCTTGTACCCGGGCCTTCCTCCTCCTCTTCCTCCTCCTCCTCCACGGGGTTGCAGTGGGTGAGTGCAGCCTGGGCAGGGGGCACTGAAATGCAGTTGAGGGAGGTGGGAGGGGGCGGCGACCCCTGGGGCTTCTCCTTGGGGTGCACTGGGGAGGTTCAGGGGGGAATCGGCCTCCACGGCCCGAGGGTGGCTCTGTCCTGGTGGGGATGGGGGCAGGGACATTGGGGTGGGGGACAAGAACATTGGGGTGGGGGACAAGAACATTGGGGAGGGGGACAAGGACATTGAGGAGGGGGACAAGGACATTGGGAATGGGGATGGGTAAACCCCACAAATCCCTATCCCAGGGTGAGATGTGGGAGTAGAGGGCAAGAATTATTCCCCCCAGCTGTCCCCATCCCCATGTGAGGCTCTGGAGGTGCACACATGCGTGTCCTCACTGCGCTGAGCCGTGCACACCCCGCGGGCGTGCGCATGGGGAGAAAGTGAAAGGGAGGCAGGAGGTAGAGGAGCAAGGACACGGGGAAGGACGGAGGAGGCAAAGGGGGGAAGAAAGGTGCAGAACGAGATGGGGAGGGGATGGATCGCACCAGGCCGGGAGCGGGGGGTCACAGATGCGGGGTGCAGAGGAGGGAAGGGATGGGGGACGTCATCGCCCAAGTGCGACAAAACGCGCCTGGAAGGGAGGCCACGCGGCTGAGCCACGATCACTGTGTCCACAGGCAGCACTACTGAATCCACACCATACCCAACAACCTCGGACATGATCTCCCCCGACTCCCCCCCAGGCTCCCCCCCCTCCTCCCCAGCCACCTCCACCTCCTCCCTGTCTTCCCACAATTTCATCTCCTCCCCAACCTCCCCAACCTCTTCCCCGACCTCCTCCTCCCCAAACTCCCCCAGTTTCAAATCTTCATCTTCTCCCACCTCTTTCCAATCCTCCCCCACCTCCACTTCGGCCCTGACCTCCTCGAACTCTGCCCCGACCTCCCCCACTTCCACGTCCTCCCCGACCTCTCACACCTCTTTCCCAACCTCCCCGAACTCTGCCCCGACCTCCCCCACCGCCACCTCTTCCCCAACCTCCCACACCTCAACTTTGGCCCCGACCTCTCCCACCCCCACCACCACCCTGACCTCCCCCACCTCTGCCCCCACCTCTGCCCTGACCTCCCCCTGGACCTCCCCCTCCTCCTCCTCAACCTTCCCCTCCTCCTCTCCAACTTCTCCCTCCTCCTCCCCAACCTCCCCAACTTCTCCATCTTCCCCCACCTCTTTCCCATCCTCCCCCACTTCCACTTTGGCCCCGACCTCCCTCACCTCTGCCATGACCTCCCCCACCTCTGGCCCAACCTCTTCCACTTCCATGTCCTCCCCGACCTCTCCAACCTCTTTCCCAACCTCCCCGAACTCTGCCCCGACCTCCCCCATCTCCGTCCCGACCTCTCCCACCCCCACCTCTGCCCCCACCTCTGCCCCAACCTCACCTTGGACCTCCCACTCCTCCTCTCCGACCTCCCCCTCCTCCTCCCTGACCTCCGCCTCCTCCTCCCCAACCTCCCCCAATTTCAACTCTTCTCCATCTTCCCCCACCTCTTTCCCATCCTCCCCCACCTCCACTTTGGCCCCGACCTCCCCCACCTCCACCCCGACCTCCCCCACCTCTGGCCCAACCGCCCCCACTTCCACATCCTCCCCGACCTCTCCCACCTCTTTCCCAAGCTCCCCAAACTCTGCCCCAACCTCTCCCATCTCCGTCCCAACCTCTCCCATCTCCGTCCCAACTTCCCCCACCTCTGCTCCAACCTCCCCCACCTCTGCCCTGACCTCCCTCTGGACCTCCCCCTCCTCCTCCCCAACCTCCCCCAATTTCAACTCTTCCCCATCTTCCCCCACCTCCACCCTGACCTTCCCCACGTCCACTTTGGCCCCAACCTCCCCCACCTCTGCCCCAACTTCCTCCACCCCAACCTCATCCACCTCTGTCTCCACCTCAACCCTGACCTCCTCTGTCACCCCCTCAACCCCTGACTCCCCTAGCACCCCCACCAGCAGCATCCCCACGACCACCACCATCACTGGCTCCAGCGCCCTCACAACCACCAGTAGCACTGCTCCAGATGTTTCTTCCACACCCACCGCTTCTAGTGCAGCAACCACGAGTTTGGTGACAACAACCACAACCACCACCAGCATCACCACCAGTCCCACAGATGTCACCACGACCATCAACAGCCCCATGACCACTTCTGGAGCCACCACCAGCCCCACAACCACCACCATGATGACCACTGGTGCCACCACCACCACCACCCTTCCGACCACCACCACCACCACCACGACTACGAAACCGACCACCACCACTACGCGCTCAACCACTACCACTACCACCACAACCACCAAGACCACCACCACAAGCCCAACCACCACCTCCACTACCACTACCCCAGGTACCATCCCTCCCACCCTTAGCTGTACCCAGGGCAGGTTCCTCGCCCCGTACCTCCCAGCCCCACCTCACACTGTCTTTTCCAGGGGTCTGCGAAAATGGAGGCACTTGGGTCAACGGCCAATGCGTGTGTCGCCCGGGATACACGGGCGCCAACTGCGGTTCCGTCGAGAGCAGCATCGAGACCAAAGCTGGTAGGGAGCCCTCTGCACCCACCTCCAGCCCAATCTGGGCAAAATCTGGGGAGAACCAGGAGTGGGGCTTCCTCACAGGGAGGGCAAGTCACGAGTGACCATGGCCACGGGTATGGACCTCAACTAGGCCATGGGTCCACAGCACCCAAAGGTGCTGGCAGCGAGTTCTCCAACCTGGGTGTTACCCTGGGGCAGCCAATGCTGTGGGCAAGGTGTTTGCCAATGAGCACAAAGTCCAACAGCACCAAAGGTGTGGGTAAGGAGTTCGCCAACCACCACAAGCTCCCACAGCACCAAAAGGTGCAGGGAGAAGCAAAGGGCAGGGCAGGGAACCACTGTTGAGGTCCAAGCAGCAGACACAAGCAGTCCAGGAACAGGTCTCCCTCAGCACAGCTCTAGAGGACTGGGGGCCTGCCCTTAAATGCCTCTCCTGCAGCAATAAGTAGAGGCTGGTGGTCCCCGGTGAGGCCAGTTGCGGCCATTAAGGCCATTAAGGCTGTGCAGGGCACAGCAGCAATGCCCAGGGTGCTGGGGTTGTCTTCTCCTGCTCCTGAGTCTCATCTCCTGCCTTCCCCCAAAGAAACCAATGTGTCCGTGAGCGTGGAGCTGCGGGTCACCAACCAGGAGTACACCAAGGACCTCCAAAACGAAAGCTCTGAAGTCTACAAGAGCTTCGTCCTCAGCTTCACCCTGCAGGTGGGATGCTGTTCTTGCCCCTCTGGGGTCTTCTCTGTCCTTGTTAGGGGTGTGCTTGCTTTGGGGGGAATCCAAGGTGGGGAAGGAACTTGCAAGGGAAGGGAGTGGGATACCGATAACCGGCTTGTGGCCTCCTTCTCTTCCAGATGGAAATTGTCTACCGCAACATTGAAGGCTACCAGGGCATCAAGATCCTGAGTCTGTCGTGAGTGTTGGGCTGCTGGCCTTTGGAAGAGGGTTTCAGGGTGCTCGGACTGCCATTGGGGTGCTCCAATGGGCATAGGGTGTTCCAACTGGTATTGGGGTGCTCCAACTGGCCTCATGCTGGTCAATGATGAAGGGTTATTGGGGTGCTTCAACTGCTATTGGGACTACACCAACGGGCATTGGGGTGTCCCCTCAGACCGGGCAGCATCGTGGTGAATCACACCGTCATCGTTGCTGTGCCAGTGACCGCTGATACCGTGGAGAAGATCAGTAACGTCACCAAGAATGTGCAGGAGGAGATCGTCCAAGCAGCGACCCAGCAGGAAAACTGCACTGATAACAGTGAGCCTCTGCCCCCCAGGGACAGGGGTGGGAACTCCAAGACGGTGTTGGGGCCCTCCGTGACAGGGTTGTGTCCTCCATGATGGGGTTGTGTCCTCCATGACAGTGTTGGGTCCCTTGGGACACCTTCAGACCTAGGCCTTGGTGGCATGTTTGGAGTATTCCTGGGACACGGTTGGGGCTCTACCGAACCGTTCAGGCCTGGCCTTGGGGAAGAGGTTGTGGCCTTCAGGGACATGCTTGGGGCCCTGGGGATGGTGTTGGGGCATCCTGGACATGGTTAAGGCCCTGGGAATCCATTCAGGCCTAGGCCTGGGGCAGACTTGGCACCTCCGGGGACAGGATTGGAGCCCTGGAGACCCAAGGCCTAGGCCTCTTCCACACGGCCTCTCCCTCTCCTTCCCAGGCACCCTCTGCTTCAACGCCTCCGAAGTGACGATCACCCAACCCTCGTACGAGTTCAATGCAACAGGTGAGCCCGTGGGGTGGGCTGCTCAGGGCTGACCTTGAGCTGGGGGCCATGCGTGTCTCCCCCCGGCCAACCCCCGTCCCCCCCGCAGCGTATTGCCGCCAGATCGCACCCAACGACTTTCAGAACTTCTACTACCCCAACATCACCAAAAGTGGCCTCACCTGCGTGTCCAACTGCTCAGCCAACACTGCCAGTGCCATCGACTGCAACGAGGGGCAGTGCCAGCTCACCCGGCATGGCCCCCAGTGCTTGTAAGTAGCATGAGGACACCCCCAGGGACACCTCCAGGGCCCTGCTGAGGGCTCTTGGCCCCACCAAAGGACCAGTGGTCTCGGCACCACACTCAGCCTCGCTTCTCCTCCCCACAGCTGCCGTGAGACCAACCTCTACTGGTACCAGGATAATCGGTGCAAGAGCCGGGTCAGCAAGATGGCTGTGGGCATGGGCCTGGCCGTGGCGGTCTTGTGCTTGGTCATCTTTGGCCTTGCTGCCTTCATCTTCAGGTCCAGGAGGCAGAAGTCGTTGGACAGGTGAGGAATCCCCATGGAGAAGGGAAGGTTAGGTGGTGGGCATGGGAGGACCTCCACAAGCAGAGGCCCTCCTTGGTCCATGGTGGTCCTCCATCTGGGAAGGACCTCCAATCATGGAGGTCCTCAAACACATCCTCAAGCACCCATCCGTGGTGCTTGCCTCCACCTCTGGTGGTCCTGATGGAGCTTAACTTGCCCCCCCCCGGTGCTTACATGAACCCCCCAGTTGCCTCCAGTCACATTCCTGATGTCAGAGCCTCTTTGCCCCCCCAGGTACAGCAACCTGACAGAGACCAAGAAGCAGTGGTACGAGGAAGAGGATGAGAACTGGAAACTCCCTGGGGGCTTCACCATCCAGAATGATGGTATGGGGTTGGAGGGGGGAACCCACTGACCCCCACGATGGGATGATGAGATGGGGGGGTTAGTGGAACCCCCACCCGGGGCATCCCCATTGAGCTCCTTCACCCCACAGATGTCTATGAGGACACCATGCGGGTTGACCTGCAGTCCGTGGACACCTTGGCAAAGGTAGGTCCCCCCCACCCACCTGAAGGGGGCGACATATGAGGGGTAGCACCCCCACCGATCTAATGGACTCACCATGTGACCCCCCCCCCCCCCCACCTTAAAAAATTCCCCCCAGGTCCAAATCCAGAGGCCAGAGAGGATTACCTCGGAGCTCTGAGCAGGGAGGAGGGGACACCAGGAGGCTGCCTCCTCTCCCCCCAGGGAGCCACACAGCACTGGGGGATAACCCTTGCTTTTCGGGAGGTATCATGACCTCAAGTTGGGGATCATGGCCCTCACTTTTATGGTCATGACCCCCACCCTTCCTATAGCACTTCATTTGGCCCCAACCTCTGCCTGCACATACCAGTCCTGGCCCTGTTCTCCTGGTGATGACCTCATTTGGTGGGCCATGATGTCACTTCCAGGGTGTTCTCCCACACACACACAGGTCACTTTAAGGGTCAGGACTCCCCCTCTTCCCCCTGCATAGGGCTGGGCCCCCTCCAATTCCAAATAAATAAGTATCAAGTCACTGGTGTCACTGGTTTGTACTGGGATGGCTCCAGCATGCATGGGGCTATTAATTATTTGTCCTGGGGAAGCTCCAGGAAGGGACGCATGGCTCCTCCCCACAGAGGGGCAAAGTTCCCCACTGCCACTCCTGCCCCAGGCATGGCTCCGCACCAGGATGCTGCTGGTGGCACTGGGGTGTTGGGGGGCACCAAGATGGGGGCTTGCACCCGAGTCTTCCTCCTCCTCTTCCTCTTCCTCCTCTGTGGGGTTGCAGCGGGTGAGTGGAGACCATGTGGAGGGCACTGAAATGCAGATGTGGGGGGCAGGAGGGGGTGGCCTCCCCTGGGACATCTCCTTGGGGTGCACTGGGGAGGCTGAGAGGGGAATCGACCTCCATAGCCCGAGGTGGCACCGTCCCAGTGGGGACAGGGACATTGGGGATGTTGGGGATGGGGCTAGAGACAAGGACGGGGACAAGGACATTGGGGATGTTGGGGATGGGGCTAGAGACAAGGACGGGGACAAGGACATTGGGGACGGGGATGGGTAAACCCCTCAAATCCCTTCCCTGGGGTGCCGGCAGTGACAAGGGGGAGTGGAGGCCTAGAATTTGTCCTCCCAGAGGTCTGTCCTCACATGAAGCTCCTGAGGTGTTCACGTGCATCCTCACCCCACCGCACCTTGCACGCCCCACAGGTGTGCAAACAGACCTGAGGAGGGTGTGGGGCGAAAGAAAAAGAGAGGCAGAAGGTGGAGGGGAGAGGACACGGGGAAGGAAGGATGGGGTGAAGGGAAAGGTGGAAGGCAAGGTGGGGCTGCTGAGGGGGGCAAAGTGCGGGCAGCTCATGGGAGAGGGTGACCCGGAGGAGAGGCGAGAACCTGGACTGGGGGGAAGGGAAGGGAACAGGGAAGTCCTTTCCCACGTCTGAGAGATGATAACGCCAAGGAGGACTTGGCTGAGCTGTGCTCACGCTGTACACAGGCACTATCACGAGCACTGTGAGTACTGCAGTAAACGCGTCCCCTGAGGAACCCACATCAGCTGCAACAATCACGAGCCTCAGCACTACTTCCACCACCATGGTCCCGACCACCACCAGCATGAGCCCAACCACCAGCATCACCTCAAGCCCGCCCACCACCTTGAGCCCGAACACCACCTCGAGCCCGAACACCACCTCGAGCCCGAACACCACCTCGAGCCCGAACACCACCTCGAGCCCAACCACCATCTCGAGGCCAAACACCACCACCACCACGAGGCCAACCACTACCACCACCACAACCACCACCACCACCTCCACAACCACCACCACCACCACAGGTACCACACCCTCCCACCCTTGGCTGCCCCTAGAGCAGGTTCCTCACCCCACACCTCCCAGCCCCACCTCACACTGTCTTTTCCAGGGCAATGCGAAAATGGAGGCACTTGGGTCAACGGCCAATGCGTGTGCCCCCCGGGATACACGGGCACCACCTGCAGTTCCGTCGAGAGCAGCATCGAGACCAAAGCCGGTAGGGAGCCCTCTGCACCCACCTCCAGCCCTTGGGGGGTATATCTTCTGGGGAGAAGCAGGAGGGGGCTTCCTCATGGGGAGGGCATGGTCTCTGAGCAGGGCACGAACCCACAGCACCTAAAGGTGTTGGCACTGAGTTCACTAAACAGGGTGTTATCATGGAGCACCCAAAGGTGTGGGCAAGGTGTTTCCCAACAAGCACAAGGTCCTACAGCACCCAAAGGCGTGGGCAAGGTGTTGTCCAACTAGTGCCTTGTCCTGGGGCACCCAAAGATACGAGTAAGGAGTTCCCCAATCACCACAAGCTCCCTCAGCACCCAACGATGCACAGAGAAGCATGGGGTGAAGCAGGGAACCACAGCTGAGGTCCAAGCAGCAGACAGAAGTAGTCCTGGAACAGGTCCCCATTCACAAACCTCCAAAGGACTGGGGGCCTGCCCTTAAATGCCCCTCCCTGCATCAATAAGCAGGGGCTGGAGGTCTCAGGTGAGGCTGGTTGGGGCTGTTAAGGCTCATTAGTGCCTTCAGGGCGCAGCAGCAATGCCCATGGTCATGCCGGGTTTGTCTTCTACTCCTGAGTCCCATCTCCTGCCTTCTCCCAAAGAAACCAACGTGTCGGTGAGCGTGAAGCTGCGGGTCACCAACCAGGAGTTCACCGACGACCTCCGAAACGAAAGCTCTGAAGTCTACAAGAGCTTCGTCCTCAGCTTCACCCTGCAGGTGGGATGCTGTTCTTGTCCCCCTGGGGTCTTCTCTGTCCTTCTTAGGGGTGTGCTTGCTTTGGGGGGAATCCAAGGTGGGGAAGGAACTTGCAAGGGAAGGGAGCAGGACACCGATAACTGGCCTGTGGCCTCCTTCTCTTCCAGATGGAAATCGTCTACCGCAACATTGAAGGCTACCAGGGCATCAAGATCCTGAGTCTGTCGTGAGTGTTGGGCTGCTGGCCTCTGGGAAAGGGTTTCAGGGTGCTCCAGTGGGCATTGAGTGCTTTGATTACCACTGAGGTGCTCCAACTGATATTGGGGTGCTCCAACTGGCCTCATGCTGGTCAATGATGAGGGGTTATTGGGGTGCTTCAACTGCTATTGGGGCTACACCAACGGGCATTCGGGTGTCCCCTCAGACCGGGCAGCATCGTGGTGAATCACACCGTCATCGTTGCTGTGCTGGTGACCGCCGATACCACGGAGAAGATCGGTAACATCACCAAGAAGGTGCAGGAGGAGATCGTCCAAGCAGCGACCCAGCAGGGAGACTGCACTGATAACAGTGAGCCTCTGCCCCCCAGGGACAGGGGTGGGAACTCCATGGACAGGCCTGTGTCCTCCATGAACTGTTTGTGTGCCCCGTGATGGGGTTGGGTCCTTCTGTGACAGGGTTGGGTCCCCAGGCACAGGGTAGGGCTCTCCGTGACAGGGTTGGGGCCCTCTGTGATGGGGTTGGGGCCCTTGGCACCCCTTTAGGCCTAGGCCTTGGGGGCATGGTTGGAGTCTTCCAAGGATAGGGTTGGGGCCCTGGGGAACCATTCGGGCCTAAGCCTTGGGGACAAGGTTTTGGCCTCTGGGGACAGGCTTGGGGCCCTTTGGACAGGGTTGGGGCCTCCTGGACATGGCTGAGGCTCTGGGGATCCATTCGGGCCTAGGCCTGGGGCAGAGTTAGGGCCTCTGGGGACAGGGTTGGGGCCCTGGGGACCCCTGAGGCCTGGGGCTCTTCCACACGGCCTCTCCCTCCTTCCCAGGCACCTTCTGCTTCAACGCCTCCGAAGTGACGATCACCCAACCCTCGTACGAGTTCAATGCAACAGGTGAGCCCGTGGGGTGGGCTGCTCAGGGCTGACCTTGAGCTGGGGGCCATGCGTGTCTCCCCCCGGCCAACCCCCATTCCCCCCCCGCAGCGTATTGCCGCCAGATCGCACCCAGTGACTTTGAGAACTTCTACTACCCCAACATCACCAAAAGTGGCCTCACCTGCGTGTCCAACTGCTCGGCCAACACCGCCAGTGCCATGGACTGCAACGAGGGGCAGTGCCAGCTCACCCCGACTGGCCCCCAGTGCTTGTAAGGGATGAGGGGATGCCATGGTGGACATGAAGCACACCACCCCCAGTCCACAGGCCCTGCTGGTGGGTTTTGGTCCCACCAAAAAACACCGTGCTCTTCCCCACAGCTGCCGTGAGACCAACATCTACTGGTACCTGGATAATCGGTGCAAGAGCCGGGTCAGCAAGATAACTGTGGGCCTGGGCGTGGCTGTGGCAGTCTTGTGCTTGGTCATCCTCGTCCTCGCCATCCTTCTCTGCATAGCCAAGAGGCCAAAGTCATCTGAGAGGTGGGGGGATACTGCAGCATGGGTGGGGAGGAGGCGGCGGGCATGAGAGGGAACCTGGAGGAAGGGTTGGTGGGTGGGTAGGGTGGTGGGGTGACAGAGATGTAGGTGGATGAGAGAGCCCAGGCAGTGGTTGAGATCCTCTATCCGTAGTAGACCTTACACCCATGGACGTCCTCCACCCATGGACGTCTTCCACCCATGGAGTCTCCAGTGGCAGAGTCTCCATCCATGGAGGTCCTCAAGCGCACCCATCTGTGCTGCTTGGCCACACCTCTGGTGGTCCCAATGGGTTGGGGCTTGGCCCCTCTGGTGTCTCCTGGATCCCCCTGGTGCCTCCTGGCCCCCCAGTGTCTCCTGCCCACCCCCAGTGTCAGCCCCACAGCATCCCATCCTGTTCCAGTGCCAGCGACCTGAAGGAGCACAAGGAGAACTGGTATGAGGACATGAATGAAGACTGGACCCCGCCCAGGTTGCTTCGTCATCCAAAATGAAGGTACGAAGGGGGGGATGGGTTGGAGCGACCCCCACCCCGGGCACCCCCGTGGAGCTCCATTGCTCCACAGGTGCCCATTATACAATATGGGTTGACCTGAAGTCCGTGGACACCTCGGTACAAGTTGTTCCCTCCACCCCCTGGGGGGGGGCTCACAGGTGGAGGGAAATGTTGGGGGAGGGGGGAACACGACCCCCATCCCCACTCACAGCCTCACCATGGGACCCCCCCTCAAAAAATACCCCCCCTGCAGGTCCAAATGCAGAGCCCAGAGAGGATCGCCACACAGCTCTGAGCAGGGAGGGGGGGACACCAGGAGGCTGCCCCCACCCAGGACACGCACAGCACTGTGGGATACCTCCCCTGCTTCTGGGGGGGGTCGTGACCCTCCCTTTTAGGGCCATGACCCCCACCCTTCCTGTAGCACTTCATTTGGCCCCCACCTCTGCTAGCACAAACTGGTCCTGGCCCTGCTCTCCTGGTGATGACCATACTTTGGGGGCTGTGATGTCATTTCCGGGGTCCCCCCCCAGGTCACTTTAAGGATCAGGACACCCCCCCTCCTCCTGCACAGGGATGGACCCCCCCCAATTCCAAATAAAAAAACTATCAAGTCACTGGTGTTACTGGTTTGTACTGGAATGGCTCCAGCATGCACGGGGCCGTTAATTCCTTGGGGAAAAGGGGGGGGAGTAGGGGAGGGGAGCAGGGGGGATCCCTGAAAAATTCCCCCCCCCCAATCTCAGCATTTTGGGGTGGTGCATTCCCCATTAAAAAAAAAAAAAAAAAAAAAAAAAAAAAAAAAAAAAAACATGGGATATGGGGTCATTTGGACATTACAGTGCAGAAAACTGCCCCCTGTGGATTTGGGGGGGGGGGGACGACGGGAACATCTTGTGGGGACCCCCCCTTAAAATCCCCACGATATGCCTCCCACCCATGACCCCCCCCCCCATAGCCTCCTCCCCATTCTTGTTTTTCATGGGACCCTCTCCCACAGGACAGCACCCACACGGACCTCCCCCCCATATTCCACGGGACCCCCCACCCCTCGTTCTTGGGACCCCCCCACACAGGGGCACCCCCACCTCGTGTCCCATTGTCCCTCCCCCCACGCAGGGAGACCAGGAGTGTTTCTCACCCCCCCACTCCCCCCCCTCCTGCTTTTATGGGGCAGTTTCGGAGCCTCCTGGACTTTGCCCCCACCCACGCCTCAGCCATTGACGTCAATGCCACCTAAGGGTGTCACAGGTGACACCGAGGTGACACCAGTGCTAATTTTAGCCCAGGGCAAGGGTGAGGAAAAAGGGGGGGCCCCCCCACTATGCTGGCACTTGAGCCTTGCACGTTTCCTTCCACCCCTCCCCGTGGGAACCGTGGGGACAAGGACATGGTGCCACCATCCCCTGCCAGAGGGTGCCCCCCCCCATGGGTGCCGCCACACAACCCGTGTCCACAGCACCCCACAGTGCTGGGGGGGGGGCTCACAGGGAGTATTTTGGGGGGGGGGTTAACCCCTTCCCCAACCCTGCCCCCCCCTGCCCAGCACAAGGGACAAAGGTGACATGGGACAGGGCGTCACCATCAGGCTGGCACCTGTGGGTGACAGGCAGAACAATGGGCATTTTGGGGGTGTTTCAGGGTGTTTTGGGGCCACTGCAGGGGGCATTTTGAGCTGTTTGGGGCCACAGTGGGGGTCTTCAGAGTCCAGATCCAGTTTTGGGGCTGTTTGGATCCAGTTTTTGGGGCCCCCAACTATGGTATCCATCCCCATCCTGGGTGCCCCCATCTCCACCTGCTATATCCCCCGTCCCCAACATCCCCCGTCCCTGTCACTTTCCCATGAGACTTTGTTGGTGCCCAGGGACCTTCTAGGACCTGTAGGGCTGGGGGGATTTGGGATGAATCTGACCCAAATTTGGGACCGGGAGCTGGGGATTTGTGGGTCCTGGTAGCCCACGGCACTGGTGGAGACCCCCCAGAAGGACCTAGATGGACCCCAGCAGCTGCAGCCCCGAGGGGGCCGTGGTTCCCACCCCGGCCACAATGTCCCCTGTGACCACGGCTGGCATGGGGCCGGAGGCAGAAGCAGAATTTTTATTGGGATGCACAGAATTTTTATTGGGATTGCCCATCCCTAAGTGGGATGGCCAGGTGCTGGCCGGGAGTCCCGCCCCCCACTGCCAGGATCTGCAAACAGAGGTTTTCTTCCTTCTCACTGAGCAAATAAATAAACGCGCCCGGCTCCTGCCAAGCCCATTTCCAGTCACTGCTGGGCCGCTTCCGGCTCCACCAGGATCCTTCAGATTGCCTCCAGCCATGGCTGGGCGTTCAAAGAGCATTTCCAGCCACAGTTGGGTCTTCCAAGAGCATTTCCAGACACAGTTGGGTCTTCTGAGACCATTTTGAGGCATGGTTGGGTCTTCCAGGAGCATTTCCAGACATGGTTGGGTCTCCCCAGGTTGATTCCTGGCCGAGTCTTCCCAAATTGTTCCCAGCTCCATTTGCTTCTTCCTAGATTACTCCCGTGGGCACTGCAGTGAGCAGGAGCCAACAATGACCTTGGAAGCAGAGTCGTTGAGAAGGTCCTGGAAGTGCTGGTGGGCACCAAGGTGACAAGGAGGCAGCATAGTCCTTGGAATCAGTGTTGTTGAGAAAATCCTGGAGGTCCTGGTGGGCAATGAGGTGAGGAGGAGCCAACGATGATATTGGAATCAGCGTCGTTGAGAAGGTCCTGGAAGTTCTGGGGGGCACCGAGGTGAGGAGGAGGCAGCATAGTCCTTGGAATGAGCGTCATTGAGAAGGTCCTGGAAGTGCTGGTGGCCAGCGAAGACCTTGGAGGAGAATCGTTGAGAAGATTCTTGGCTCCCACATCCCCCTGCCCCACAGCGCTCTGCCCCACATCCCCCTCACCCCACCCCAGCTCCCACATCCCCCACATCTCACAGTACCTGGGTCACAACTGGGGTCGCAGTGAGGGTCTGGTGATCTGCATCTGCGGGCGGGGAGGGTGGAGAGAAAGGAGAAGGGGATGGAGGTGAGATGGACGGATGTGAGATGGGTCCAGGTGGGCTGCGGGATGGGGGGTGAGTGCAGGGGGGGAAAGGTCAGAGGGGGCACCCACCGGGATGTCGGTGTTCACCCGTTCCAGTGAGGCTGTGAAGCTCCGTAGGCTGCCGCCTGTTGGGGACATGGGTGGGGGGTGATAGAGTGAGTGGTGGGGCTGAAGAAGCAGCCGTGGTCCCACTGTCCCTCCTAGTGCTGCCCCCAAGAGATCTCCTGACCTGGGTCAGTGGCATTTTTGTTCTTGAGGACGAAGCCTTCGGATGCTGTCCAGCTGCTGCCATCGTCCTCGTACCAGTTCTCGTCAACGGTGGCCGAAGTGTTCCTGGGGGGCAGCGCCAGGGGGCTCAGAGGGAGCAGAAGGACAGAGGAGGGGGCTGTGCCCCCCCCAAACTGCCCCGATGTCCACTACCAACCCCATTCTGAACCCCAACCGAGCCCAGGTGTCTGCCACCAGCGTACATGTCCATCACCAATCAACCAACCCAAAAGACCGCAGAGCATCCAACCCAATTAATGCCAACCCAACCAACCCATCCCATCCAACCCAACCCAACTCAACCCAAACCACCCCAATCCCACCAACCCAGAAGACTTCAAACCATCCAACCCACCCATCCCATCCAACCCAACCCAACTCAACCGGAACCACCCCAACCCTGCCAACCCAAAAGACCCCAAACCATCCAACCCAATTAAACCCATCCCAGCCAACGCAACCCAACACAACCCAATGAAACCCAAACGACCCCATACCATTCAACCCTACTAAACCCAACCTAAACACCCCAACCCATTCAAACCAAACCACGCCAACTCAACTCAACTCAACCCAACCCAACCAACCCAATCCAATCCGCCCCAACCATCCCTGATCCTCTACCTCTTCCTGCCCTTCGTCCTTATCACCAGCAGCACAGTAAGGGTGATGCAGGCAATGAGCAGCACCGTGACCGCCACCCCCAGCCCCGTGGACACCTTGCTGACGCGCCCAGAGCACCGGCTGCCCGTGTACCAGTAGAGAGATTCATCCTGGCAGCTGCAGGGACAAGGAAGGGTCAGGCCCGGTGGTCCCAGGGGTCAGGGGGCACACAGAGGGACGTGTGCGGTGGCACTCACAAGCACTGTGGCCCGGCACGGGTGACGTGGCACTCGCCATAGTTGCAGTTGATGGTGCCGGGCGTGTTGGCCGTGCAGTTGGTGACGCAGTGGAGGGTGTTGCTCACGTTCATCGCGTAGTAGTAGTCCTGGTAGCCGATGGGGGCCCTCTGCTGGCACAGTGCTGAGGAGGGGGCACAGGAGGGGGTCAAATGGGGTGGTGGGGTGCATAGGGGCTGGTGGGGTGCATGGGGGAATCAGGGGGTGTATGGGGTTCCTTGGAGGCACCCCGGCCTCACCATCAAATGAAGGGGACTTCGTCATGTCCTTGACGACGGGGTTGTCCAACACAGAAAGGCAGACGACAGCTGTGGGGGGAGAGAGGCTGTCAGGGACCCTTCCCCAGGGCCTCCCTTGGGGGTCGAGGGGAGAGGGTGAAGGATGGGGCACCCACAGGTGTCGTGCGTGCAGTTGCCCTGGCTTTCAGCAGTCTCCTTAAGCTTCTGCACCATCTCCTGCGTCTTGTTCTGGAACTCCTCGCTCAGGTCGGGGCTGGCAACGGTGCTGAAGATGACCTCGTGGTCCACATCGAGGCCGGTGCCCTCGGGGAGGGTCGCGGAGGCTCTGCGCACCCGGGCTCCCCGCCTGCTGGAAGCCGCTGGCCTGATGCTGAGGATCTTCACGCCCTGGTAGCCAGGCATGGAGCCGTAGATCTTGGCCATCTGCCAGGGTGAGGGGTGCCGTGAGGACGTGTCCGGTGTGGCCCTGGACTCCCCTTATGGGGCCCGGCCTCCCCTTGTATTCCCAAAATCATCTCGCGCAACTCGGCCTCCCTTTGCGCAACCTGGCCTCCCTTTGTGCTCTCACCCTTCCCTCTCACTCCTGGTCTCCCATTGTGCTCCCAAACTCCCCTTGCCCACACTGGTCTCCCCTTGAGCTCCCAGCCTCCCCTCAGGTTCCCAGCCTTCCCTTGTGCTCCCGGGCCTCACATCTTGCCGGAATTGCTTCTCAAAGCTCTCATAGGCCTCCGAGCGGGGGTCGTTCAGCTCCTCCGTGTAGTTGAAGTTGGTGACGGTCACCACCAGCTCCACGTTGGCCACGATCGTCCCCTCGATGGCTGTGGGAGGCAGGTAGAGGGGTGAGCACAGGGAGGCCGGGGGGAGGCCACAAGCAGGGGGGAGGCCGTGGGCTGGGGGGAGGCCGCACTTACGGATGTCGGTGCTGATGGATTCACTGGAGTACTCGCACACGGGGCCGTAGAAGTCAGAGAGGCAGCGGCACTTGATACCATCATAGGTGCCTCCATTCTGGCAGACCACTGCGGGGAGAGCGGAGGTCAGGGGGCAGCCAGGGGTGGGGGTCCCGTGAGGAGACCCCAGGTAGGACAGGGGTGAGGGTCAGCGATGGAGGCCTGGGAGGTGGGGTATACGAGGGGGGAAGGTGAGGGGAGAGAGGATAGAAAAGAGATGGATGCTGACCTGCAGGTATGGTGCTGGTGGAGGTCGTGGTGGCAGTAGTCGTTCGAGTGGTGGTCGCTGTAGATGTGGTGGTCAGAGCAGATGTGAATGTTGGTGTAGAAGTGGTTGTTCGTGTAGAGGTGGGTGTTGGTGTAGAGGTGGTGGGTGTTGGTGTAGAAATGGTGGGTGTCAGTGTAGAGGTGGGTGTCAGTGTAGAGGTGGGTGTCGGTGTAGAGGTGGTGGGTGTTGGTGTAGAAATGGTGGGTGTCGGTGTAGAGGTGGGTGTCGGTGTAGAAGTGGTGGGTGTTGGTGTAGAAGTAGTGGGTGTTGGTGTAGAAGTGGTGGGTGCTGGTGTAGAGGTCGGTGTTGGTGTAGAAATGGTGGGTGTTGGTGTAGAGGTGGGTGTTGGTGTAGAAGTGGGTGTTGGTGTAGAGGTGGTGGGTGTCAGTGTAAAACTGGTGGGTGTTGGTGTAGAGGTGGGTGTTGGTGTAGAAGTGGTGGGTGTTGGTGTAGAAGTGGGTGTTGGTGTAGAAAGTGGGTGTTGGTGTAGAAGTGGGTGTTGGTGTAGAGGTGGTGGGTGTCAGTGTAGAACTGGTGGGTGTTGGTGTAGAGGTGGGTGTTGGTGTAGAAGTGGTGGGTGTTGGTGTAGAAGTGGGTGTTGGTGTAGAAGTGGGTGTTGGTGTAGAAGTGGTGGGTGTTGGTGTAGAAGTGGGTGTTGATGTAGAAGTGGGTGTTGGTGTAGAACTGGTGGGTGTTGGTGTAGAACTGGTGGGTGTTGGTGTAGAGGTGGGTGTTGGTGTAGAAGTGGGTGTTGGTGTAGAAGTGGTGGGTGTTGGTGTAGAACTGGTTGGTGTTGGTGTAGAGGTGGGTGTTGGTGTAGAAGTGGGTGTTGGTGTAGAAGTGGGTGTCGGTGTAGAAGTGGGTGTTGGTGTAGCAGTGGTAGGTGTTGGTGTAGAAGTGGTGGGTGTTGGTGTAGAAGTGGGTGTTGGTGTAGAGGTGGGTGTTGGTGTAGAAGTGTTGGGTGTTGGTGTAGAAGTGGGTGTTGGTGTAGAGGTGGGTGTTGGTGTAGAAGTGGTGGGTGCTGGTGTAGAAGTGGTGGGTGTTGGTGTAGAGGTGGGTGTTGGTGTAGAACTGGTGGGTGTTGGTGTAGAAGTGGGTGTTGGTGTAGAAGTGGTGGTTGTTGGTGTAGAAGTGGGTGTTGGTGTAGAACTGGTGGGTGTTGGTGTAGAAGTGGGTGTTGGTGTAGAACTGGTGGGTGTTGGTGTAGAACTGGTGGGTGTTGGTGTAGAACTGGTGGGTGTTGGTGTAGAGGTGGGTGTTGGTGTAGAACTGGTGGGTGTTTGTGTAGAAGTGGGTGTTGGGTGTAGAAGTGGTGGTTGTTGGTGTAGAAGTGGGTGTTGGTGTAGACTGGTGGGTGTTGGTGTAGAAGTGGGTGTTGGTGTAGAAGTGGTGGGTGTTGGTGTAGAAGTGGTGGGTGTTGGTGTAGAAATGGTGGGTGTTGGTGTAGAAGTGGTGGGTGTTGGTGTAGAAGTGGTGGGTGTTGGTGTAGAAGTGGGTGTTGGTGTAGAACTGGTGGGTGTTGGTGTAGAAGTGGGTGTTAGTGTAGAAGTGGTGGTTGTTGGTGTAGAAGTGGGTGTTGGTGTAGAACTGGTGGGTGTTGGTGTAGAAGTGGGTGTTGGTGTAGAAGTGGTGGGTGTTGGTGTAGAAATGGTGGGTGTTGGTGTAGAAGTGGTGGGTGTTGGTGTAGAAGTGGTGGGTGTTGGTGTAGAAGTGGTGGGTGTTGGTGTAGAAGTGGGTGTTGGTGTAGAACTGGGTGTTGGTGTAGAACTGGTGGTTGTTGGTGTAGAGGTGGGTGTTGGTGTAGAAGTGGGTGTTGGGTGTAGAAGTGGGTGTTGGTGTAGAAGTGGTGGGTGTTGGTGTAGAGGTGGGTGTTGGTGTAGAAGTGGGTGTTGGTGTAGAACTGGTGGGTGTTGGTGTAGAACTGGTGGGTGTTGGTGTAGAAGTGGGTGTTGTTGTAGAAATGAGTGTTGGTGTAGAACTGGTGGGTGTTGGTGTAGAAATGGTGGGTGTTGGTGTAGAGGTGGGTGTTGGTGTAGAACTGGTGGGTGTTGGTGTAGAAATGGTGGGTGTTTTTGTAGAGGTGGGTGTAGAGGTGTCCTGTGTCAGTGTAGAGGTGGGTTTCGATGTAGGAATGGTGTCTCCTCGGGATGCCTCTGTGTTTTCCTCTGTGGAAGTAACCCATGCAGAATTCAGGTCAGTGAACGTTTGCAGGAGGATGTCTCTGCTGAGGTGGTCCCTGGGATGCTGCTGGGATTCCCATGGGTGCTCGTGGGAGTTCTGAGGGAGCTTGTGGGGGTCCCATGGGTGCTGCTCTCAGTCCCGGGGGGCTCATGGGGGTTTTAGGGCTGCTGGTGGGGTCTCTGTGGTGGTTTCTCTGCTCCCCGTTATCCTGTTGCCTCCTGTGGAGGCTGCGGCACTCGGTGCCATTTGGAGGCTGCCCATCCCACACCCTTCCCCTTTCCCTCCCCGCCGGCCTCACCCATGGCCATGTCCCCTTCCCTCCTGGCCTCTCCCCCACTTCTGCGTTATTCTGACCCTTGTCCTGTTCCTGTCCACACGTCAATGGGACGGGTGGGGCAGAGGCCGCACAGGTGGACGTGGCCTCTGCTCTCCCAATTTTTGGTCTCTTCTGCCCAAGCTCATGGCCCCCGTTCTCCCAGTTCTGGCCTCCAGTGCCCCCGTCCTGACTTCAACTGCCCCAATTCTGGCCTCCCGTGCCCCAATTTTTGCCTCCACTGCCCCAGTTCTGGTCTCTGATGCCCCACTTCTGGCCTCCACTGCCCCCAATTCACCATCTACGCTGCCCCGATTTGTGTCCTTCCCTGACCCAATTCTGTCCTCTACTGCCCCAGAAGTTGTCTCCGACGCCCCAATTCTGGCCTCCGATGCCCCAATTCTGGCCTCCGATGCCCCAATTCTGGCCTCCGATGCCCCACTTCTGGCCTCCACTGCTCCCAATTCATCGTCTATGCTGCCCCAATTTCTGGCCTCCTCTGCCCCAATTTTGGCCTCTGCTCGCCCTCATCAGTGCCATCACCATGGGGTGGGGGGCTATGGAGTGTCCCCATCCCTGTCCTTCTCCCCGTCCCCCTCCCCAATGTCCCCGTCTCCCTCCCCAATGTCCTTGATCCCCATCCCCAATGTCCTTCTCCCCGTTCCCACCAGGACGGAGCCACCTCGGGCTGTGGAGGCCGATTCCCCCGTCAGCCTCCCCAACACACCCCGAGGAAATGCCCCAGGGGGGGCCACCCCCTTCCGCCCCCCCAGATCTGAGTTTCGGTGCCCCCTGCCCAGGCTGCACTCACCTGTTGCAACCCCATAGAGGAAGAGGAGGAAGAGGAGGAGGAAGGCCCGGGTGCCAGACCCCATCTTGATGCTTCCCAGTCCCGCGGTGCCGCCAGCAGCATCCCGCTGTGGAGCCATGCTCAGGGCAGGAGTGGCGATGGGGAACTTTGCCCCTCCGGGGAGAGAGGCTGCTTAATCCCAGGGTGGGCGGTGTTTTGGGGGTGCGGCCGTGCCCAGACCAATCATGGGCACCGTGACCGTGGGAACAAACATGACGTTCCTCTCCCCGTTATCGGGGACAACCTCAATGGCCCCGTCCCCGTTATCACCGCCCTAGAGGTATCACGGTGTCACGGGGAGGGGGTGTTTGTTCCCTTTTGGAGTGAACCTGACCCAAAGTGGGGACAGGGGGCTGGTGTTGGGGGCTGGTGGATGGATTCCAGCCATCCTGGGGTCTTCCCAGGTCGTGTGCAACCATCGTTGGCTTGTCCAAAATTGACTCCAACTGTTGCTGGGTTGTCCAAGATCATTTCCAACCATCGTTGGTGTTGTGGTTTAACCCGGCCGGCAGCTAAACACCACGCAGCCGTTCGCTCACCCTCCCCCCTCCCTCTCCGGGACGGGGGAGAGAAATGGAAAGTGAAGCCCGTGAGTTGAGATAAAGACAGTTTAATAAGACAGGAAAATAATAATAACAAAATAATAATAAAAATAATAACAATAATAATACAATGATGATAATAGGAAAGTAATAATAGTATGTACAAACAAGTGATGCACAATGCAATTGCTCACCACTCGCTGACCGATGCCCAGCCTAACCCCGAGCAGTCCGGCCCCCTTCCCCCCCAGCTAGCCACCCCTATATATTGTTTAGCATGACGTCAGATGGTATGGAATACCCCTTTGGCTAGTTTGGGTCACCTGTCCTGGGTCTGTCCCCTCCCAGCTCTTACTGCACCCCCAGCCTGCCCGTTGGCAGGACAGAGCAAAAGGCTGAGATGTCCTTGGCTTAGTATAAGCACTGCTCTGCAACAATTAAAGCATCGGGGTGTTATCAGCACTCTTCTCATCCTAAGCCAAACACAGCATTCCACCAGCTACTAGGAAGAAAATTAATTCTGTTCTAACTGAAACCAGGACATCTATCCACCCCTTATTCCATACCATTTATGTCATGCTCAGGTTACACTCTTTTCCATACAGTCTAATTAGTCACCTATAGTAATCATGGTAGTGATAACATACAGTATAATATACTAATTAACATGGTACAATTCAGTTCATGGGCTATTCTCACCCAGTATTAAATCTCCTTGAGGTACACACCGGACCTCTCCGTTCTTTTGCATCACCCACCAAGTGTATCCAGGTCCCTGAGCGAAAACAATTCCACGAATAGGTTTGCCTTTTCCTGAGGCAGGAGTAGCCCAGACTGTTTTACCTAGCATATTTTTTACATGCACTACAGGAACTTTATCCCCATCTACAGTACGTAACAGGTTTGATTGGGCAGGTCCAGCTCGGTTGGTAGATCCCCTAGTATTGACTAACCAGGTGGCCTTTGCCAAATGCGTATCCCAGTTTTTGAACGTCCCAGCGCCCATTGCTTTCAATGTAGTCTTTAACAGGCCATTGTATCGTTCAACTTTCCCGGAGGCTGGTGCATGATAGGGGATGTGATACACCCATTCAATACCATGTTCTTTGGCCCAAGTGTCTATAAGGTTGTTTCGGAAGTGAGTCCCATTGTCTGACTCTATTCTTTCTGGGGTGCCATGTCGCCATAGGACTTGCTTTTCAAGGCCCAGGATGGTATTCCGGGCGGTGGCATGAGGCACCGGGTATGTTTCCAGCCATCCGGTGGTTGCTTCCACCATTGTAAGTACGTGGCGCTTGCCATTACGAGTTTGAGGGAGTGTGATGTAATCAATCTGCCAGGCCTCTCCATATTTATATTTCAGCCACCGTCCTCCATACCAAAGAGGCTTTGACCGTTTGGCTTGCTTGATTGCAGCACATGTTTCACAGTCATGAATAACCTGTGCTATAGCGTCCATGGTCAAGTCCACCCCTCGATCACGAGCCCATCTGTATGTTGCATCTCTACCTTGATGGCCTGAGGTGTCATGGGCCCATCGGGCTATAAATAATTCACCTTTATGCTGCCAATCCAGGTCCACCTGAGCTACTTCAATCTTAGCAGCCTGATCTACCTGCTGGTTGTTTTGATGTTCTTCAGTAGCCCGATTCTTGGGCACATGAGCATCTACGTGGCGTACTTTCACAGCCAGGTTCTCTACCCGAGCAGCAATATCTTGCCACAATGCAGCAGCCCAGATGGGTTTGCCCCTACGCTGCCAGTTGTTTTGCTTCCATTGCTGTAACCATCCCCACAGGGCATTTGCTACCATCCATGAATCGGTGTAGAGATAGAGAACTGGCCATTTTTCTCGTTCAGCAATGTCTAAAGCCAGCTGAATGGCTTTCACTTCTGCAAACTGACTTGATTCACCTTCTCCCTCAGCAGCTTCTGCAACTCGTCGCGTAGGACTCCATACAGCAGCCTTCCATCTTCGATGCTTCCCCACAATACGACAGGACCCATCAGTGAACAGGGCATATTTCTTTTCATTCTCTGGTAACTGGTTGTACAACGGGGCTTCTTCAGCACGACCCACCTCCTCCTCTGATGATATCCCAAAGTATTTGCCTTCTGGCCAGTCCATGATCACTTCCAATATTCCTGGGCGACTGGGGTTTCCTATTCGAGCCCGCTGAGTAATCAATGCAACCCACTTGCTCCATGTAGCATCAGTTGCATGATGCGTAGAGGGGACCCTTCCCTTGAACATCCAGCCTAGTACTGGCAATCGGGGTGCTAGGAGGAGTTGCGCTTCAGTACCGACCACCTCCGAAGCAGATCGAACTCCTTCATATGCTGCCAATATCTCCTTTCAGTTGGAGTATAGCGGGCCTCAGATCCTCTGTATCCCCGACTCCAAAACCCCAGGGGCCGACCTCGAGTTTCCCCAGGTTCTTTCTGCCAGAGGCTCCAGGTGGGGCCGTTCTCCCCGGCTGCAGTGTAGAGCACATTCTTTACATCTGGTCCTGTTCGAACTGGCCCAAGGGCTACTGCATGGACTATTTCCTGCTTGATTTGTTCAAAGGCTTGTCGTTGTTCAGGGCCCCATTCAAACTCATTCTTCTTACGGGTTACTTGGTAGAGCGGGTTTACAATCAGACTGTAATTTGGGATGTGCATTCTCCAAAACCCCACAACACCTAGGAAAGTCTGTGTTTCTTTTTTGTTAGTTGGTGGAGACATAGCTGTTATTTTGTTGATCACATCCATTGGGATTTGACGACGTCCATCTTGCCATTTTATTCCTAAAAACTGGATCTCTCGTGCAGGTCCTTTGACTTTATTCTGTTTTATGGCAAAACCGGCTTTCAGAAGGATTTGGACTATTTTCTTCCCTTTCTCGAAAACTTCCTCTGCTGTGTCACCCCACACAATAATGTCATCGATGTACTGCAGGTGTTCAGGAGCTTCCCCCTGCTCTAGCGCAGATTGGATCAGTCCATGGCAAATGGTAGGGCTGTGTTTCCACCCCTGGGGCAGCCGATTCCAAGTATATTGAACTCCCCTCCAAGTGAAGGCAAATTGTGGCCTGCACTCTGCTGCTAGAGGGATGGAGAAAAATGCATTAGCGATATCAATTGTGGCGTACCACTTGGCTGCCTTTGACTCAAGTTCATACTGAAGTTCCAGCATGTCCGGCACTGCAGCACTCAGTGGTGGCGTGACTTCGTTCAGGCCACGATAGTCCACTGTTAGTCTCCACTCGCCATTAGACTTTCGCACTGGCCATATGGGGCTATTGAAAGGTGAATGGGTCTTGCTGATCACTCCTTGGCTCTCCAATTGACGAATTAGCTTATGGATGGGAATCAGGGAGTCTCGGTTAGTGCGATATTGCCGCCGGTGCACAGTTGTGGTAGCGATTGGCACTTGCTGTTCTTCGACCCTCAGCAACCCCACAACAGAGGGGTCCTCTGAGAGACCAGGCAAGGTAGATAATTGTTTAATGCCCTCTGTCTCTAAGGCAGCTATACCAAAAGCCCACCGGAACCCTTTTGGGTCCTTGCAATATCCTCTTCTAAGATAGTCTATGCCAAGGATACATGGAGCATCCGGACCAGTCACAATGCGGTGCTTTTCCCACTCATTCCCAGTCAGACTCACTTCAGCCTCCAATACAGTCAACTGCTGAGATCCCCCTGTCACTCCACAAATATAGATGGGCTCTGGTCCTTTATAGCTCGATGGCATTATAGTACATTGTGCACCAGTGTCTACTAAAGCCTTATACTTCTGTGCGTGTGACGTGCCAGGCCATCGAATCCACACAGTCCAATAAACTCGATTGTCCCTTTCCTCCCCCTGGCTGGAGGCAGGGCCCCCCTAATCCTGGTCAGAATCTTCTTCGTTTCTGTGTTTGAAGGACTGTCTGCTGGAAGTTGGAGCAGCAAACTTTTCAGAGAATCCCTTTTTCCTGATTGTTTTCTTTTGCAACTCACGTACCCGTGCCTCTAGGGTCGCAGTAGATTTTCCATCCCATTTTCTCATGTCCTCTCCATGGTCTCGTAAGTAAAACCACAGGGTGGCACGGGGTGAGTACCCACCATATCGTCTTCCTTGTGTGGGTGAACGCCTACCCCTGACAGCTGAGACACTGCTTTGTACAGGTACAGAGGAGAATAATCTCTCTTCAAGTTGGTGAACCTTTTCAGAAAGTTTCTCCCAGGTGTTCTCTTTTGGTCGTTGGACACTGGTTGGTTCAGGTTGGGGGGAAGATAGATTCTCTTTAAGTTGGTGGACCTCTTCAGACAGTTTTCTCCACAGCTGAGACGCAGGCCTGTAAGGAAGAGGAGAGACTTTCTTCGTACTGCCGGAGTTGTTTAGCCGCTTCATCCACTGTGGGTTCCTCATCCTCTTTCCAGGCCATTACTGCCAATGAGCTGGCATATGATGATGGTGCACTCCGTACAAACTTCCGCCACATGGGTCGTGTACACTTGACTCCATCTGGATCTTTGGATGTTTGTGTCTGGTCTGGATCCTCATAAATCACTTCCCGTACGGCTAATTCCCTCAGGTACTGGATTCCCTTCTCCATAGTGGTCCACTTGCCTGGTACACATAAAATATCTTCCTTGAAGGGATACCTTTCCCTCACAGCTGAGAGGAGACGCCTCCAGAGGCTGGTGGGTCGTGCTCCATCTGCAATTGCTTTGTCAATGCCGGCGTCTCGAGCAAGGGATCCCAACCGTCTGGCTTCCCTGCCGTCTAATTCCACACAATTGGCTCCAGAGTCCCAGCACCGGAGCAGCCAGGTGACAAGCTGCTCACCTATACAGCGACCAAAATCTTTTCGCACATCTCGTAGCTCGCGCTCGTTTAGGCTTCGCGTAGTTACTGTTGCTCTTTCGGCATCCTCATCTTCCTCCTCCTGAATCCTTGATGGCCCAGCGTCGTCATCATCTTCGTCATCTCTATACTTAGTTTTGGCAGAAGCCTTACCTGGATTGGCAGAAGACTCTCTGCGTTCTAAACGACTTGAATTTCTGTACCATATTTTCACCTTCTCTACAGGGGCAGCTTGCACTGCTACTGCTCGTTTCTCTGACTTTGTTACAGGGTCTGCCACAGGGATTGGAATACCCTCTGCAGGGTCAACTTGCACTGCTACAGCTCGTTTCTCTGACACGGCCACAGGAGCTGGAGCGGCTGCAGGAGCTGGAGCAGTTGCAGGAACCGGAGCTGTAGCGGCTACAGGAGCTGGAGCTGGAGCTGGAGCAGTTGCAGGAGCTGGGACTGGAGCAGCAGTAGGAGCTGGAGCTGGAGCGGCTGCAGGAGCTGGAGCTGGAGCTGGAGCAGTTGCAGGAGCTGGGACTGGAGCAGCAGTAGGAGCTGGAGCTGGAGCGGCTACAGGAGCTGGAGCTGGAGCTGGAGCAGTTGCAGGAACTGGGACTGGAGTAGCGGCCGGAGCTGAAACTGGAGCGACTGCAGGAACTGGGACTGGAGCGGCTGCAGGAGCTGGAGCTGGAGCGGCTGCAGGAACTGGAGCTGGAGCGGCTGCAGGAGCTGGAGCTGGAGCGGCTGCAGGAGCTGGAACTGGAGCGGCTGCAGGAGCTGGAACTGGAGCGGCTGCAGGAGCTGGGACTGGAGCGGCTGCAGGAGCTGGAACTGGAGCGGCTGCAGGAGCTGGGACTGGAGCGGCTGCAGGAGCTGGGACTGGAGCGGCTGCAGGAGCTGGAGCTGGGGCGGCTGCAGGAACCGGATCTGGAGCGGCTGCAGGAGCTGGGACTGGAGCGGCTGCAGGAGCTGGAACTGGAGCGGCTGCAGGAGCTGGGACTGGAGCGGCTGCAGGAGCTGGGACTGGAGCGGCTGCAGGAGCTGGGACTGGAGCGGCTGCAGGAGCTGGAACTGGAGCGGCTGCAGGAGCTGGGACTGGAGCGGCTGCAGGAGCTGGGACTGGAGCGGCTGCAGGAGCTGGAGCTGGGGCGGCTGCAGGAACCGGATCTGGAGCGGCTGCAGGAGCTGGAACTGGAGCGGCTGCAGGAGCTGGAACTGGAGCGGCTGCAGGAGCTGGAGCTGGGGCGGCTGCAGGAGCTGGAGCTGGGGCGGCTGCAGGAACCGGATCTGGAGCGGCTGCAGGAACCGGATCTGGAGCGGCTGCCGAGTCCACCGTAGGGGTCACAGTGGCCGTTGGATCTGTCACAGGGCTTGGAGTGGCCGCAGGGTCTGTCACTAAGTTGATAGCAGTATCAATGGCAGCTCGATAGGCATGAGCCAGGCCCCAGCACGTTACAATGATTTGTGTTACTTTAGAACTGCCAGAATCATGACACCTTTTTTTCAAGCATTCTGCCAGTTTTTGAGGATTTTGCCATTGTTCAGGGGTGAATTTCCAACACACTGGGGGTGCCAACTGCTCTAGATGCCTGCCCATATCCGCCCATACTCCCTGCCACCCACAACTATCCTGCCCCCGGGCAGATCTCCAGAAGAGCTTCCCAAGTAGTTGTTTAACTTTAAGCAGAACCTGAAGTGCATTCATGAGGCAGAACAACAAGACTATGGTACTCTGAGTATTCCAGAAATATTCAATATCTTGGAGAGCTATTGTGACAAGCTCAGGGGATAAGAGGGTGGTGAAGGAGGAAGGCAGAGTGACCCAGGAGGATACAGGGGGGGTGAAGGAGAAAGGGAGAGTAAGCAAGTAAGGGAAAATATCCTCCCCTTTCCCCTCCACAGATTGACTCCTTAATGGAAAAAAACAATAGGTATAATTGCTAATAGTTTCCAAGATACAGTTTCCAAAGTACAGAGTCGACGATGTTACTGAATACAAATAACAAGTTAGAGTCATGACCACATATTTCATCGTCTCATAAGCCATTGCTACAACACACAGCACCATAATGATCTGAAACCAGGGCCCGGAGAGGATAAACAACACGACAGAGAGTAAATACGGAAAATAATGTACTATAATACTCAATTTGGAAAACAGGCGCAGCAAAGTTGAGATTAAAGCAATCAGCATTATGACAAGTGACTATTAAGCAGGTCTAATCCTTACACCAATTTTAGTTTAACACACTCTGGTCAGATCTGCCGTTATCTCAACCTTTCGGGCCCCACGTTGGGCGCCAAAAAGGCTGTTGTGGTTTAACCCGGCCGGCAGCTAAACACCACGCAGCCGTTCGCTCACCCTCCCCCCTCCCTCTCCGGGACGGGGGAGAGAAATGGAAAGTGAAGCCCGTGAGTTGAGATAAAGACAGTTTAATAAGACAGGAAAATAATAATAACAAAATAATAATAAAAATAATAACAATAATAATACAATGATGATAATAGGAAAGTAATAATAGTATGTACAAACAAGTGATGCACAATGCAATTGCTCACCACTCGCTGACCGATGCCCAGCCTAACCCCGAGCAGTCCGGCCCCCTTCCCCCCCAGCTAGCCACCCCTATATATTGTTTAGCATGACGTCAGATGGTATGGAATACCCCTTTGGCTAGTTTGGGTCACCTGTCCTGGGTCTGTCCCCTCCCAGCTCTTACTGCACCCCCAGCCTGCCCGTTGGCAGGACAGAGCAAAAGGCTGAGATGTCCTTGGCTTAGTATAAGCACTGCTCTGCAACAATTAAAGCATCGGGGTGTTATCAGCACTCTTCTCATCCTAAGCCAAAACACAGCATTCCACCAGCTACTAGGAAGAAAATTAATTCTGTTCTAACTGAAACCAGGACAGTTGGGTCCCTAAGATCAATTCCAACCATCGTTGGGTTGTCCAAGATTGACTCCAACCATCGCTGGGTTGTCCAAGATCGTTTCCAACCATCGTTGGGTCCTCTAATTTCCATTCCAACCATCGCAGTGTGCTCAGGTGGCCAAGAAGGCCAACGGCATCCTGCCTTGTATCAGAAACACTGTGACCAGCAGGGCTAGGGAGGTGATCGTCCCCCTGGACTCGGCTCTGGTGAGGCCGCACCTTGAGTACTGTGTTCAGTTTTGGGCCCCTTGCTACAGGAAGGACATGGAGGTACTCGAAAAAGTCCAGAGAAGGGCGACGAAGCTGGTGAGGGGCCTGGAGAACAAGTCCTACGAGGAGCAGCTGAGGGAGCTGGGCTTGTTCAGCCTGGAGAAGAGGAGGCTCAGGGGCGACCTTATCGCTCTCTACAGATACCTTAAAGGAGGCTGTAGGGAGGTGGGGGTTGGTCTGTTCATCCACGTGCCAAGGACGAGGGGGAATGGGCTTAATTTGCGCCAGGGGAGGTTTAGGTTGGATATTTGGAAAAACTTCTTCACCAAAGGGTTGTGAGGCTGTGGTGGTTTTACCGTGCTGGGCAGCTAAACCCCACAACCGCTCTCACTCCCCCTCCTTTAGATAAGGAGAGGGAGAAGGAGAGCAAAGAACAACTCACCGGTTGAGATAAGGATAATTTAATTAAAGGGAAATAATAATAACAATTAAATAAAGACTACCATGAACTAAACAATTTAACTAAGGGGAAATGAAAAGGGAAAGGAGAAAAGGGAGGGGAAAAGGGAAAAATAAAAAGAAGGGTGGAAAACAAACCAACAAAATAAATGAAGGCTATGTGGAAGTGCAGAGGACAGAAATTACTCTCTACTTCCCACAAATGAGCGATGATTGACCACGTCCTTGAAGCAAGGCCTCAACGCACGCAGCCAGTGTTCGAGAGGAGGACCGACGTTTTCCCAACGAGAGCCCACCCCTCCCCTCTTCTTCCTGTTTCCACCTTTTATTGCTGAGTGTGACATCACATGGTATGGAATATCCCTTTGGTTGGTTTAGGTCAGCTGCCCTGGGGATGTTTCTCTCCTCACTTTTTGCCCACCCCCTAGGAGGGTTAGAGAAAGGAGGACTGGTTAGTGCTAGGTCAGAGGTTGGACTCGATGACCTTGAGGTCTCTGCCAACCTAGATGATTCTGTGATATGGGGGCATTTGAGGCATTTGGGGCAATTTGGGAGCACTTCCACATCCTCTTTGGCTCTAAACCCCATCAGTGAAGTCCCCCATCTTTGGTGTACCCCCCATCTTTGGTGTCCATCCCCATCCCTGGTGCCCCCATCGCCATCTCACATATCCCCCTTCCCCAACGTCCCCCATCCCTGTTACCTTCCCATCAGGATTTCCTGGTAGCCAGGGAGCTGCCAGGACCTGTAGGGCTGGGGCCATTTGGGGACCTTCTAGGACCTGTAGGGCTGGGGGAATTTGGGATGAATCTGACCCAAATTTGGGACCGGGAGCTGGGGATTTGTGGGTTCTGGTGGCCCCCAGCACGGGTGGAGACCCCCCAGAAGGACCTAGATAGATGCTCCCCCCAAGGGGGCCATGATTGGCCAGTTCCCACCCCGACCCCTAACATCCCCCGTGACCATAACTTGCATGGGACAGGAGGCAGAAGCAGAATTTTTTTGGGGATGCACAGAATTTTTATTGGGATTGCCCATCCCTAAGTGGGATGGCCAAGGGGTGGCGGGGAGTCCCATCACCCACTGCCAGGATCTGCAAAAAAGAGGTTTTCCTCCTCCTTCTCGCTGAGCAAATAAACGTGCCCGGCTCCTGCCAAGCCCATTTCCAGTCACTGCTGGGCCGCTTCTGGCTCCACCAGGATCCTTCAGATTGCCTCCAGCCTTGGTTGGGTCTTCCAAGAGCATTTCCAGACATGGTTGGGTCTCCCAGTGTTGAGTCCTGGCTGAGTCTTCCCAAATTGTTCCCAGCCCCATTACTACCGTGGGTGCTGCAGTGAGCAGGAGGCAACGAAGTCCTTGGAAGCAGCATCATTGAGAAGGTCCTGGAGGTCCTGGTGGGCAATGAGGTGAGGAGGAGCCAACGATGATATTGGAATCAGCGTCGTTGAGAAGGTTCTGGAAGTTCTGGTTGGCACCAAGGTGAGCAGGAGGCAACGTTGCCCTTGGAATGAGCGTCGTTGAGAAGGTCCTGGAAGTGCTGGTGGGCAATGAGGTGAGGAGGGGCCAGCGAAGACCTTGGAGGAGAAGCCTTGAGAAGATTCTTGGCTCCCACATCCCCCTGCCCCACAGCGCTCTGCCCCACATCCCCCTCACCCCACCCCAGCTCCCAAATCCCCCACATCTCACAGTACCTGGGTCACAACCGGGGTCGCACTGAGGGTCTGGTGATCTGCATCTGGGTGGGGGTGGAAAGAAAGAAGGGGATGGAGGTGAGATGGGCCTGGGGGGGCTGAGGGGTGGTGGGTGGGCACGGAGGGGGGCACAGGTCTTGGGGAGCACCCACCGGGATGTTGGTGTTCACCCGTTGCTGTGAGGCCGTGAAGCTCCGTAGGCTGTCACCTGTTGGGGACATGGGTGGGGGGCGATGGGGTGAGCAGTGGGGCTGGGGGAGAAGCCGTGGTTGTTTTCCCCCTCCCCTCCCAGTGCTGCCCACCGGAGCCCACCCGACCTGGTTCGGTGGCGTTTTTGTTCTTGAGGACGATGCTGTCGGATGACATCCAGGTGCTACCAATGTCCTCGTAACAGTTCTCATCAACAGAGGCCGAAGTGCTCCTGGGGGGCAGCGCCAGGGGGCTTGCAGGGGGCAGAAGGACAGAGGAGGGGGCTGTGTTTCCCCCGCAGCCCTCCTAGATGTCTGCCCACAACCCCATTCTGAACCCCAACCGAGCCCAGGTGTCTGCCACCAGCGCACATGTCCAACACCAATCAAGCAACCCAAAAGACCCCAGACCATCCAACACAATTAATGCCAACCCAACCAACCCAACCCATCCAACCTAACCCAACCAATACAACTAAACCCAAACCACCCCAACACCACCAACCCAGAAGACCCCAAACCATCTAACCCAACTAAACCCATCCCAGCCAATGCAACCCAACCCAACCCAATTAAACCCAAACGACCCCATACCATTCAACCCTACTAAACCCAACCTAAACACCCCAACCA